TCAAATCGGTCCAGTAGGTACCTATTCAATACAAACAATCAAATCTTTCCTCTTTTATTAGTGTAGAAAAAGCGAATTTATTTTTGCAAGTAAGTAGCTTTTAAAAAGCGCTTTTACGTGTCCCATTACTACATTAACTCTACCACTGCTTCGGGACAATAAATGGGCCAGTGCTGAGAAGAAGCAGCGCAAGAAACTCAGTCACTAATGCAGAGTGGCCAGTTTAATAACGATAAAGATTGGATAAAGACGTTATATTGAGTTTAGCTTATTGTGCTGACGTCACTGTTGGGACAAGTCCATAAGTTTACTTAACTCTTTAACTGCTCTCAAGGTGTTATTTCTTTTAAATTGTCAATTTCAAAGTGTTTTATTATTAGTAAAAAGAGGCTCATAAAGGTGACTGTTTCTTCCGCCACTTCTTCTGAGCACCAGCCCATTATGTTGTCCCGAAGTGGTGGTAGGGCAAGCTATATTTGGGACGTGTATAAGCGTCCTGGAAAGGGCCTATGTACTAAATAAACTATAATGAGGATCATTTCGATTTTTAGCTGTGAATGCAGATTTATAGGGCTAAGAAATCCTTAATATACAGTGCAAAAATTTTTGTTTTACGACAAAAATTGACGAAGTTATGGCCAAATTACTAAAAAAGTTCACTGACCGCCCGGCGCGGGGACGATGACGTCATTATATCCGATCCGAACGCTGCCGACGTACTGCGTGGATAGAAAATATTTTTTTCTGGCCAAATTATCAGTTTTAGAGAAAAACTTGTAATGACATTTATTCATCAGAATAAAGTAAGCTATTGATAGGTAATTTTTAAAAATAGAAATTGTGAAAAATAACGCAAAAAATCCATACGCTCATACGATTCAATGGCACGCAGAGACGCGATTGGGGTCTCCGCGGTGGTATATTTGGCGATTTATTCAAATAAAGTGTTCATAAGTGTTGTTAGAGTCATAATTATCTTCTTCCAAGTAAAATATAAAAATGTATAAGTATTAATTTATTTACTTCTAACAATAAGGTATAGCTGAGGCAGATACACTCTGCCTAGGCTACAAGACATTGCTATGAAAATCATTTAGATGTACACGCAATTTAGAGTTAAACCTACGCACCTACCTATCTATTCACCGTTCCCATGGGCCAGCTGCTGCAGGAAAGGACAGCCGCTCCGTGCTGGAAATCTATTTAATCTTAGCCTAGAAGCTGGGTATGACTACCCCGCCCCTCTCCTCTCCCCAGGTCATAAGCTGGGCATGACTTCCCCCTCGGCCAGAAGTTGGGTATGATTATTTGACAACCTTTGTCGGAAACATTATTCAATGAAAATATTGTCCGAACCCTTAGTATTTCTCTTCGACAAATACTTTAACACATTGTGAACCACTTTTCTTTCACGACTATAAAAAGATTTTAGCAATTTAATTCACAAAATCAATTGCGCACATTTAAAATAAAGTTTGTTTACACTTTGACAGCAATAGACTGACATGCAAGGTGACATGTCAATGAAGTTTTCAGTTACTGTTGCCATTAAAAGAAATTAGTACCATTAGTTTTCCGCAACATGGCGAGGGTTTTTATGTTCCTGGTCAGGCTATATGTCATTTTTTACGCAGTCGCTAGCGGATGACGATCGATATAAAGTCGCACTAAGCCCGCTGATTACGAATAGATCCAGAAAAACACGTGTAGTGACATCGGTTAGTATTAGGGTCACATTGTTTTTTTACAGAAGTACCTAGTCTAATTGTTCCTTTCTACAAAATCACTAATAATCTAGCAAAATCGATTTTGATAAAAAAAGAACTTGTTTTATAATTTTCTTAATTTCGTTATTTATTCTGCATTTTAGTATTCACACATGCAGACGGAAGCATTTTTAGTTTTATTTGTTTAGACTGTATAGAATTAAATGACATTATCATCATACAAATATCATTTTTTAGTCCTGCTGACAAGGAACCCTTAATAATATAGTTTCGATATGTCTGGCTGTCTGTCTGTCCGAGGTTTTGCTTGGAAACTATTGGCACTAGGGAGCTGTAATTTTGTAGAGGTATGTATATTAATCACGCCGACAAAACGGTAGAATAAAATTTTGAAAATAAAAATTTAGGGTAGCTCCCCTACAAGTAAAGTGGGGATGAAAAGTGGGGTAAAGGAAATGATGCACATAAAACCTATTTTGCAAATTTGATAGAAAATACGTAGATTCTGGGATTGAAGTTCGTAGGTTTGCAAGGAAGGCTTAAAATACGTAGATCTACGTAAAAATACGTAGAGTTGGCAACCCTGAAATGGGCCAGTGCTGAGAAGCAGCGCAAGAAACTCAGTCATTATTGTAAAAAATCCTGTTTAAAAACGAGATATGACGTCATTGAGTTGCTGACGTAACTTATGGGACAAGCCCATAAGTTTACTTAACTCTTTAATTTATGCTCTCAAGATAGTTTTTTTTTTTAACTTGAAAATTTTATTATTAGTAAAAAGAGGCTGATAAAGGTGACTGAGTTTCTTCCGCCACTTCTTCTGAGCACCAGCCCATGTTGTCCCGAAGTGGTGGTGGTGGTGGTAGGGCAAGCTATTAGCTATTTTTGGGACGTGTATAAGCGTCCTGGAAAGGGCCTATGTACTAAATAAACTATTTATTTTGATTAAATCTATCTACTGTGGTTATGTAGCTTTAGTAAAAATTGTTTTCAAAATTGTTCTCCCTTAAATTCGTTTCAGTTCAAGGAATCGCAAAACCGTGTGACCTGAAAATTGAAATAAGTGACATACTTTACATAAATTGTGATTTTTTAGTAAACTAGGTAAGCTACTCACAACGTGTCACAACTCTTTTATAACCCTCTTTCTGACATAGTTAGCTGTAAAAAACTGCCTGTAAAATTAGAGTAAAAAAATAAATAAAAAGTAAGTCAATTGAGTCGTCGATATGGTAAATTTTAAATTATCCACTTCCGATCGCTATAAAAATGGGACAAGCATATTTCGGCAGCTCTTAAAAAGTATGTTAATTGATTAGTGGTGTCAACAACTGCTGGATTGACGAGATTTTTTATAGATTTATCTCAATATGCCGATGGGGCGGCAAGCTTCTGGAGTGGAGGCCACGTACCGGAAAACGCAGCGTGGGACGTCCAAGGTGAGGTCTCACAAGGTGGACCGACGGTCTGATAAAGGTAGCAGGAAGGCGCTGGATACAGGCCGCCACCAACCGTGCGATGTGGAAGTCAATGGGGGAGGCCTATGTTCAGCAGTGGACGTCCTCATACTCAACAGTTGGCCGTGCGGAGCGGGTCCGCACCGGACGGTCCGCGTGACACTAAAACCAGCCTTACCCCATTCTTTTCACTATATTTTTTTCTACTAACTTACGAGTCGGATGCATATAGAAGCGGAAGGCATGATCAGGAAGCAGCATTATCTTCCTATAGAAGTAAAACAATCGAGGTTGTAATACTTCCGTGACAATTAATTTTCAAGGCCTTTTAGGGTATGGTTCAGTCTTCGAAGACTCAAAAGCTTGGCTGAAATGGGCAGGAATTGCAGCCCCCTTTACATAGAGACATAAGTAACGACCGCGCGCGCCCGTATTCACAAACATTACTATGAGGTCTCACACTGCGTGTGAACGCACATGGTGATACACGAACCAATCACAGAGCTCTATTTAACGCTGTTCGTTCGATTTTCTGCTTCACACAAGCATCGTTTGTGAATACGGACGTAAATGTTTCGTTCCTCAGAGCCAATAATCATCACTCGTTTTTATTAAGTGTCTAATTAAGGCTTCCAGCGCGCTAGGCAGCCTGGCTGTGGCAGTCAATTCGGCCGGTATATGAACACTATTGGCTGCCTAGTGCGCGGGAAGCCTAAAGAGCAGTCCTAAATAACATCTGATTTGCCCAATCAATGGACCGACGAATGACCGATGAATGTTAGAAGTGCCAGGATTCGCGTAGCTCAAGAAAGGTCGTTGTAGAAATATTTCCAGTTTGGTCCAGCTGTGGACGTATTCTGTTTGAAAGGAACGTAAAATGAATTCAGTTAATATTTTAAATTATCATTTATTGAACTTATATTAGTAGTGGTATTAAAAAAAACCTTAATTAGTTTAAAATGCAAATATCACATTATGTAGTAAGTCATGCTATTCTTAAGTCTGTATTATAAAATGTCTTCTTGAAGTTTTGAGAATTTGAGACTTTCTTTATAATACGCCTAAGACAGCAAAAAAACACTGGTATAAACTAATCATCAAGTATGATTAATAACACTTAATCTAAATTTTAAAAAGAACTGAGTATAATGAGCTAGGAAGGAACATTAGCTGCTCACAAAAATTTAAAACATCTAGGCTGGTTTTAGTGTCACGCGGACTGTCAGTGCGGATCGCCCCGCACAGCCAATTTGTATGAACTGCTAGGGAGCGAGCGGTTCCTCCGGACCGCATTACTCTAAAACGCTCCTTAGTTAGAAGTTCATACAGATTGGCCGTGCGGAGCGGGTCCGTACCGGACGGTCCGCGTCGTGACACTAAAACCAGCCCTACTCCTCTTGTCGGTCATCGTCTCTCAGACGTGTGTCAGTCAAGCAAGATGTGTATAGGTCGTTTCATCCACGAAGACCCGTCCCACCATTCTTCCGCTAATGTCTAAGCGTTATCGGTACACGCTAAATCATCCATGAGTGCACACGCACACTACAGTAATGACGCTCGGATTGCTCGGATCTTTCCCGCACCCCGCGCTTCCTTGACCAAAAATTGGTGGGGCGCGTCTTCGTACAATGGACATACAACGTTTTTGAAAAATAAATTAGGTCCTACTCATTGTAAATTACGACTATCCAAAGGTACACATCTCGCAAATATTTTTGCGACAGGTTTTGCACACGACAGAATCGTTGATGAGCACTACGTAAGTCTTTAAGAACGTTGCACTAATATAAAATATTTAAAATGTATTTCTAATGGCCTACTACACGTTTTTGTGCATCTTTGCAACCATCTTGACTGGTGTCTATTAGTAGTCAGTCGGTAAATTGACCACGCAATGGAATCGGATAGGTTCCTCCGGTTCTTCCGATACAAACAGCGTGTATTCTCCGTCGCTTTCTTCGTCGATATTCTTTATTGTGNTTATTGTATACTCCAAGGTTTGAGGTAGTGGCCTACCATCTTCACCAATATCGCAATAATGCCGCGGACGTCCCCTACCGCGTATGGGTACTAAGATAGGAGTGGATGACAGTCGCGGTCTACCTTTTTTCCGCTTCTTCCGATATTCATAAGGCTTCCATATTGCATCATCTGCATCATCGTCACTGTCTTTCGGTTTAGGCGGTCTACCAGGTTTCCGCTTCACTACAGGATTCAAGGACTTTACGACAGGGACCTCAGTCTCCTCAGGTTCAGGAGACGGCGGTCGTTTGCGTGGTCGCCCCCTTTTGCGTTTCTCTTTTACGACTAGGTTATCTGGATCTTCGTGTGTACTTTGATCTTCGTTTTCAATTGATATTTCATCATTTTGCTGATTTTCTTCTGGAATATTCCCAATCTCGTCAGGATCGGGAGTTGGGGACGTTTACGTGGTCGCCCCCTTTTGCGTTTCTCTCTTACTACTAAGTGGTCACCTGGATCTTCATACGTACTTTGATCTGTTCGATTCTCGTTTACAATTGCTATCTCATCATTGTTCTGGTTTTCTACTGAAATATTACTAGATTCAGGGTTGTGAGATTCTTCTTGAGTCTCTTGTACGTTTTCGCTTTGTATTTCTTTATTTTCTAACTCATTGTGCATTGGATTTTCCTTTTGGCGTACTTGTTTATCTAACGATGTCGAGTCTATTTCTGTGTGAGTGCTATTTTTCTCCAGTTCATGATTTTGATGTTCTTTATTTTCTTTTTCTTCATCCTCATCGATTCTCGGGTTCTCTTCCATCCTGCCGGCCAGTTTCACCATGATATGGACATCATCAAGGAAACAAATGGGTTTTTTATTTCAAATAACCAACCCTTTTGTTTTCTGTTGTTTATTTAGATTGCTCTGGTCTAGGTTCTTCCGTGTTTTGAGCTGCCTTCACCTTTACCTGGAGATCAGAGAACAATAATTATGTTCAACAATGCAACAATAAATCCGTACTTATCTAATTAAAAAATACGAAAATAACTCTGCTTGTCTGTCTGTTCTGTTGTTTTTCACTAATAAACCGAATGAAATTTATTCAGTTTTGACCTTAGGTTTTGACTTGACCAATATTTTGGCAGTTACGTACGTCAAAATAAAAAAGGTAACCCTAAAAAGTAATGGAAGAATAGTTTTGGACCCAAGGAAAGTCTTTCTTGTTTTTGTAAGCGGGACGCGCGCGATATTTATTACCTAGGTAGTCATTCTGTGTTAAATAATCAAACGAAGGCGCGTGTAAAAGCTAGTTCTTAACGCAAAGGGAAAAAAACAAATATTCACATGGTAATCCTATGTATAAAACGCATTATAAATCTGAAAAAAATACCGCCCACCGTTTCACAGGTCGCGCTATTTAAAAATCTGCCTGTTTACGAATTCCTTTACGTGAGTTGCCAATTTTATTTTGTAACGTGACTCAGAGTTGGCTAAGAACGCCTCATTTGGATTACGTTGGGTGGTGTATTTATAGGGAGCGTTGGAAATAAATCATTAAAGCATTTGCCACACTGTGACTGAGACTGAACGGGCATCGAACAAAAAACTCAAACAGCACCGCTGACAGATTACCTTTTCACGCTTACCACGACGACCGTTGGCTGACAGATTATCTTGCCCAGAGGGCCGGCCTAGTGTGAGTTTTTTCTAAACGCGCTCACTGAGCGCGTCAAAAAATGACATTAAATGTATGACGGATTGTACAGCGCCCCTAGCGGGAAACTTTCAAAAACTAAAATTTTCATACATTTTGTCATGTAAACTCACACTCGGCCCACAGATCGCGGCCGATTGTCCTGACCGACAATGTTGTCCATATATGATGCGGGCAGGCTTTGACCTGACCGCAGACCGCATCCAGTGTGGCAAATCATTAAACGGCTAATATAAGGTAGAAAATTATGAGATAAAAAAGTCTGTCTAACCCACAACCTTGAAAAAGAGGCTAACAAATTAGTGACGTGAGTTTCGAGCGCAGTTGCGCTGATTCTTTCCAGAAATAGTATTATAAAACATGGGATTTTAAGTGTTTAAAAAAATTAAGTCGGAAACAGTGCTACATAATAATTATTTAATTTTGAAGTCTAATTTACTGAAAATAAATGAATTTTATTTTATTTTTCTACATTTTAAACGTAAAATTGCACTTATTTTAACCACAGTTTTTTTTTAATTAATTAAATTCTATTTTTTTTTTATAAACTATCTATCGCTTACTGACAATAGTGACTTCACTCTGTTGACTGTTGAAAGTTTAGTTATGTAAAAATGATTATCTTGGAAACATTAGAGTACTTAGTTACTTTTTACTTTTATCACAATGCAGAATAACTTGAAAACATGAAACAAATGCGTGCGTATCATACATAATAAAACATTGTCCATACAAATCTGCGACCACACTGTAGTCTGTGTGGTGCGTGACTAGACAGCTGCCAGTAACCGGTTTAAAAATAATGACATCATTTTTAAACAGTCAGTTCATTATTTCAAAACAAAATAAATTATTTCAAAAGAACAGAACAACCTGTGATTAAATTGGCTTTTTTTTTTAAGTTAAAAAACATAATAATAATTGGCAACCCTAATTCAATCTTTGTAGCCGCGACGCCGCCAGCCGCCATCTTCATTCTAAAAATAAACTTTGTAAAAAATCCATACTCTATAGGAGTGACCGTTAGCAAAATCTTTAGGTATTTTTTGAACGAGGTTACAAACAAAACAAGTCTTTATTTCTATTTGTCCCTTGACATGTCCCACTAAACATAATCTTCGGGACGAATATTTATTACTAGCGTTCCGCCAGCGGCTTCGCCCGCGTGAAATATTTGTTTGTCATCGAAAACCATTATCGCGCGCGTCCCTGTTTTATAAACCGGGATAAAAACTATCCTATGTCCTTTCCCGGGACTCAAACTATCTCTATGCCAAATTTCATCTAAATCGGTTCAGTGGTTTTGGCGTAAAAACGACACAGACAGACAGACATTACATTCGCATTTATAGTATTAGCAGTAGACTTGTCCCACTAAACATAATCTTCGGGACAACATATTTAATAATAATATCGACAGGTGCTTACAAATGGCGGAAGGATCGCAGTATCATGACATTTACTTACTAAAACTAAAAACTCATAAAGAACACTAATTTTATTTTCGTAAGGCTTTTAAAAAGCTTTTACACGTCCCAGTATTAACCCTACCACTGCTTCGGGACAATAAGGTAGTCCAAGCTCGTTTTTATTGTATTTAAATACGCATTTACTCATAGCATAGTCAAGTCATCCTTAATTCATAAGTTTTTTTAGAAGCTATCTACCTACCAGAGTAATTTTGAATTCATTAACTGACCATGTAACGTGTTAAATTATCCCAATGAATGATTTTATTTTTTATTTTACAAGTAGGCTTTCAAAAATCACTGTTACACGTCCCAGTATTAACCCTACCACTGCTTCGGGACAATAAATGGGCCAGTGCTGAGAAGAAGCAGCGCAAGAAACTCGGTCACTATTGTACACTTTGCCTAGGCTAAATTTTTTGGAATGGAAAGTTTATTCTAATTTCTAGTAAGTACAGTTAGCCTCAAATAGTTCGTTACGCCCAATGTAGTCAAGTTCGCAACACGTCTTTGTTACAATGTGAATAAGGTCGTTTTGTCAACTTTTTGGCCACTTTGGGTGTCACGAACCATTTGTCGCTGACTGTACTTATACCAAAATGCGATTTTAAGTCTTTCATCGTCACTTGTAATACAGGCTATTTGTAACAAAAATGTGAAGTCTAATATGCTGTCGACTGTACATATAACTAGACTAGCTTTCTGCCCGCGGCTTCGCCCGCGAGGAATTTTGTCTGTCACAGAAAGACAATCGCGCGCGTCCCTGTTTAAAAAACCGGGATAAAAACTGTCCTAACTCCTATGTCCTTTCCCGGGACTCAAACTATTTCTATGCCAAATTTCATCACGGTTCTGTGGTTTAGGCGTGAAAGCAAGACAGACAGACAGAGTTACTTTCGCATTTATAATATTAGTATAGAAGTATAGATTAAAGAAGAAAGATTTGTATGTTTGTTTGTAACAGATAAACTCAAAAATAGGCAAGTAGGGTAAGTACGTTGGNATATCGGAGAACATTTCCTTAGTACGACTGAATCGCGACTAACCTAGCTACGCGGCCGATGTTCGTTTCTGGGCATATCGCGGAGACACGCGCCACGCCCCCGTTTCACATCTATTCCCTTCTATGATCTGAGGAATAAGTACATTAGTTACTAAAACATTTGCCACACTGAATGCGTTCTCCGATCTGACTGAGACTGAACGGGCATCGAGCAAAAAACTCAAAGAGCACCGCTGACAGATTACCTTTTCACGCTCACGACGACCGTTGGCTGACAGATCGTCTCTTTTTTAACAAAAAAGTTTCTTAGTTATGTAAAATTTTTTATTGAAAACATAGTTACTTTTATTTAATACATCCCCATAATCGCAATTAACAACGTAGAATAACTTGAAAACATCAAACAAATGCGTCCGTATCATACATAAAACATTGTCCATACAAATCTGCGACCACACTGTTTTCTGTGTGGTGCGTGACTAGATAGCTGCCAGTAACCGGTTTAAAAAAATTAGTTAAAAAAAAACAATAATTGGCAACCCTAATTCAATCTTTGTAGCCGCGACGCCGCCAGCCGCCATCTTCATTCTAAAAATAAACTTTGTAAAAAATCCATACTCTATAGGAGTGACCGTTAGCAAAATCTTTAGGTATTTTTTGAACGAGGTTACAAACAAAACAACTCTTTATTTCTATTTGTCCCTTGACATGTCCCACTAAACATAATCTTCGGGACGAATATTTATTACTAGCGTTCCGCCAGCGGCTTCGCCCGCGTGAAATATTTGTTTGTCATCGAAAACCATTATCGCGCGCGTCCCTGTTTCAAAAACCGAAATAAAAACTATTTTATGTCCTTTCCCGGGACTCAAACTATCTCTATGCCAAATTTCATTAAAATTGGTTCAGTTGTTTAGGCGTGAAAGTGACACAGACAGAGTTACTTTCGCATTTATAATATTAGTAGTAAGACATGTCCCACTAAACAAAATCTTCGGGACAACATATTTAATAATAATAACGACAGGTGCTGAGAAATGGCGAAAGGATCGCAGTATCATGACATTTACTTACTCAAACTCATAAAGAACACTAATTTTATTTTCGTAAGGCTTTTAAAAAGCTTTTACACGTCCCATTATTAACCCTACCACTGCTTCGGGACAATCAGGTGGATAAAATATAGAGTCCATCCTCGTTTTGCTGTTTAAATACCTACACATTTTACATTTAGGTACTTCTCTATTCATAAAGTTTTTTTAGTATCCGTCTACCTGAATAATTTGAATTCATTAACGGACCATGTAACGTGTTAAATTATCCCAACGAATGAACTCAAACTCAAATTATTTTTTTCCAAGTACCTACCTAGGCTTTTAAAAATCACTTTTAGAGTAGGCGCACACCGTTGATTTTTCGTCGGCCGATAGTTTAGTCGGGCAGTTGATCAGTATGGGCATGATGTATTGGGAGTGCGCACACTACGCCGATTCGATTTGGCCGATTCTTCATACAAATTGATCCATACCATCAGGTGATCCGTCTGCTCGTTTGCCTCCTGTCACATAAAAAAAAAACAACTATCGGCCAACTAAAAATCAACGGTGTGCGCCTACTCTTACACGTCCCAGTATTAACCCTACCACTGCTGCGGGACAATAAATGGGCCAGTGCTGAGAAGAAGCAGCGCAAGAAACTCAGTCACTATTGTCTACTTTGGTAGGCTACATTTTTTGGAATGGAAAGTTTATTCTAATTTCTAGTAAGTATTACAGTTAGCCTCAAATAGTTCGTGACGCCAAATGTAGTCAAAAAGTTCGCAACACGTCTTTGTCACAATTTGAATAAGTTTGTGTTGTCAACTTTTTGGGCACTTTTGGACGAACTATTTGTCGCTGACTGTACACTGTACATGAACCAAAATGCGATTAACGATCGTATTCACAAACGATGCTTGCTTAAGTGAAGCAGCAAATCGAACGCACAGTGTTGAATAGAGCTCTATGATTGGTTCGTGTGACATCCTGTGCGTCCACGCGCACTGTGAGACCTCATAGTAATGTTTGTGAATACGGGCGTAAGTCTTTTCTCGTTACTTGTAAACTTGTAATACAGGCTATTTGTAACAAAAATGTGAAGTCTAATAATTATGCTGTCGACTGTACTTCTTTAACTAGATTAAAGAAAAGAAAAGAAAAAGATAGATTTGTAACTATGTTTGTAACGGATAAACTCAAAAAATAGGTAGATAGGTACTCGACCGACATGAAAAATTAAAATTCTTATTAGAATACCATTGGAATCCTATTTTTTTAAATTCATAATTATAAAATTTATTAATATCCGTTTCCGTGCGAAGCCGAGGCGTTCAAATTCATTTTTTTTGCGTTCCGTATTGTAGGTTTGTAATAAAGAGGGTAAGGTAGTTTCGAATATTCGCCACCTTCGGCCTGATCGTCACTTACCATCAGGTGAGATACAGGTCAAGAGTTTCCCCGTTGTGGATAAAAAAAAAAAAAAAAAAAAAAAAAATATTTCTTTACTCTGGCAAGTAGGTAGTCAGTGTTTGTCGCGTGATTTCGAATTTTCGATATAATTTTGCCAATGCAAAATCAACCTTATCAAGATACGAACAACGTCGATTTTTTTTTCAAGATCGTACTGCCGTCATCAAATAAGACTACATTTTTGAAAACAAAATAGACTATTAGCATAAGATGGTCCGTGCCTATTTTAAACAAAAGAAAAAATTTCAACATTGGCAATCATCATGCATGTAGATCGCGTAGGTTTTCGTTAAAACAAATACAAATTTTAACCACTTACAAGTCTATATTCAGTTGATTCGCGTTTCACAAGACTGCCTCTGACTTTGTTACTAAAATTAACGCTTGAAATTGTATTTTAATGCTGCAAAACTGTGATTAAACGAAGTAAAAATGGCGCCAACTTTCACGACACACGTACGACTGTCATGGCGGCGGCCGCTTCACTGCGCTGCAGAGAACTAAATGGATTCGGGCGCGACAGAATACCGCGTCCCGAGTCCAAAAAATAATTCCAAATATTGTAATAAATTCCTAGTATTATACAAAGACCCTTGTGTGTGGAATTGCTACGTTAAATAATTAAATTTAGACTTTTTTAATTTGATTTTAGAAAGGTAAGTAGGTAGGTAGGTAGGTACCTATGTTACCTGTTGATTAGGATTTAGGACCCCCCCTAGAATATTATTAATCTAGGATGTGACGATCTATGGACTCCATAAAATAAAGTTATTAAATAAATNAAAATTAAGAACCTATGAGTTTATTGGATACAATTTAATGACACGTGGTATTTCCTCAAAGTATAAAGTAACTAGGTCCTATTTTCTAATTAGGTACTAAACTATACTAACCCTCTTCTGTAAAATGTTTTAATTGTTAATAAAATAAATTCTAAAATAGGTAGGATTCTATCTTTCTAGGTAGGATTAATAATACTAACACACGCATGCATATACCTACATACATTACACACGCAACACACACTTGAAGAGCATTGTGTTAATTTGTGTAAAACTTAAATATTAGTGTCTATCCACTTAATATGGCNGTAATAGGGGGCTGTAGTAAGTTAGACTTAGTATATTTATCTATTAATAATTACTTTAAGTGCATTAAAATCAATAATGAATAAATAAAAATATTTAAAATTTTGCATGTCCATTACTCGATTGGCCGCGCGTGCCCGCAAAAAATATTTATGTAGTAATGTTAGGCACCATAGGTACTTACGACTACATAAGGTTTGACCGCTACAGTTTGCAACAGTAGCCAGAAAAAAAATAAAAAAGATTTTTCTCCATACAAATTTTCTTGTCATATTTTTTTTAAGCATGAAAGGCTTGTTTTATCGAAAAATGCATAATGACAAATGTTGATCAGCATTCAAAATGCTATCCAAAACAATTTTTGTTTCGGTGAAATTATGACTTTCGATCGTATGTCCACCTTTTTTTAATATCAAACTACTGTGGGGTGGGACAATTCAGTGTATTTGATCTTTAAGAAGGTTTGTACTGACAGATGACAAAACTAAAATGATTGAATGAAATAATGAATGAAAATCACAGATATGGATTAGAGTAGATACAGCAAGTTGATCGTCAAAGCGTGCCATTCCGATATGTCCAAATGGACATACATGGTCAAGTGATGTTCATGTAATCCGATTACAACAATCGGTTACGATGATTTTACGAGGACAGTAGTACGAACACAGTAGAAAGAAGAAATTATTTACGGATTGAGAATTGTAATTAACAGCACAAGTAACAAATAATTAATTAGAATAAAGTAGCAGTAGAAGAAGTATAAAGTAGCATTGTTTTTAATACATATCCTGCGATGTACTCTTAAGAGTTAAAACCATGGTCCCTGTATGTGGTGCACTCATACCGATCCCAAGGAACCGACTTACTTATAACAATAAGACACACACTGATGCATGTATTCATGCACTTGACTTTATGTCTTGAAACGCTGGTAGGGTAAAAAAAAAATAACGAGATTTGACGATTTGTAAGAATTAATTTATTTTAAAAAGGTAAATAAAGATGTTTTTGGTTTTGTATTTAACAAATTATCAGTTTTATCGGAATTTGATCTTATTTTTTTGATTGAATTGTGGATTTTTTGGATTATCCGTGTCAATGGGTTTAAATAAACCGGCTTGTCATGTAGCAAAGGTCTGAGATTTTTCTTGTCAGTTCGCACTCATGTATTATCGGACCTAATAAGCGGAGGTACTTTGTTGCCTTCCAGAGGTTGTGGTTCCCATTTGCATTCCGAGACATATTTGGCAAACTCTGTGTGTGTGATTCGCTTAAAGTATAGTCCAACAATGTGGGTTGTCTGCCAGACAAAGGCGGGGATTTTTTCTTGACAGCAAGAGGGACCGACGCGTTCAATTATTTACTAGACCAAGCAGCAACTTGAATAATGTACTTGATTAACTGATAATATAGTTAGTATTGAGTTATTCAATCAATTTATTAGTATATCAACGGCATTAAGTTGCGAAAAAATTATGCCAACCACATACCTAATTTACATTAACTCAGACAGTCAGGCCGCGCTGATGGCCTTAAACTCCAACTTAATCACCTCAAAGTTGGTAGAAAACTGCACGAGTCGACTGAAAAAACCCTAGGAGAACGTAACAGAGTAACGCTGAAATGGGTTCCAGGTCACGCGGGAATCGTGGCAATGAAAATGCCGACGAACTAAGCGACGAGTGGAGGAAACACAATATGGTCCAGAACCCTTTTGTGGCATTCCCAAAAGTCTCGCTTGAATGACCCTGGAGAACATCTATTTAAACAAATCCTTTAAGGCATGGTCAGACACGCCAGGATTAACTCATTCCAAAGCTCTCATAAAAGCCTATGACCTCAGATCATAGAATCTATGATCTGAGCCTATGACCGAAAATGCTCTAAGCAGATCATAGGACTGAGTAGGATCAAAATGCGCATCTTAGTTCGAGCCCTGCAGCAGCTTAAATAAGCACTTGTCCACTATGGGACTGTCCGAATCAATAACGCGCAGGATGTGCCAAGAGGCAGATGAAACGCCACCACACATTCTCACGGCGGACCTTTGATGCGCAAGCAAAGCTTACACCTGGGCAAACACATCCTAAGCCCACAAGATGTAAAACATATCGCCCCCCAAAAGAAGAGAACTCGGAGACGAACTGTAAGGAAAATAGCGGCGATCACAATAGATCGGTACCGGTCGTAGTGATATTAGGACTTTATTGAACTAGAATAGCCGCTCAAGTCTCAACTCAATAAAAAAAATAGTTCTTCTGCGTTCGAAACACAAATTAGTACAGTATAGGAGAGGAATGAATTGCAAATAGTTGGTACAGTATCAGTATCGGCGCGCCGACAGCTGGTCGTCGGCGGCGGCGGCGTGAAAAAATTCGCGGCGGCGGCGGCGCGCCGGCGTGGCGCCCACCTCTACAACGATTAAAAATAGTTTTAGACTTTTTTTATTGCGTAATACCACAGAATAATAATAAGTACTACGTAATACTTATACTTAACCATAGAAAACGCCCAGACCAGACCAATATATTGTGCGGTTATCGAACTCGCGACCACATAACAGAAAAAAATACTCATTTAAGGTAATTTATTGTGGTAGGTACTTACGTCAAAACTTATCGCCATGTGGTGGTAGGGCTGTAGGACTATTCCCACCTCTCGTTTCCACCACTGCAACTCCTGTGTAGCCAGGATATACAGCTTGACCGCCGCTACTAACCAGCGAAGGTCTAGTTTGTCCTGGGGAAAAGTTTTTTTTTATGCTTGACAAGGCAGGTATTTGACCGCAATCGCACCTGGTGTTTAGTGAGATGCAGTCTAGGATGGTACATATCTGCCCTGTAAGTGCCTATTCATACTGTAAGTTACTGTCATTGGACTCCCTGAAAAAGGCCTTCATAATAATAAAGAATTTAACTTTATTTTGTTGATTCTTTTGGGACATCTTCGTCAATACGTCTTATGGAACAGTTACACTTATGCTTATAAAATGTCATGCTTATTAGCATGCTTAAAACAAGCGTGCTCGAACAACTAGAAATGAGCATACTCAATATTTAAGTCCGGTCGCCGAGCAGATAGAATTTCGTACAATGACCCCAAGCTACCCATCCTTATCGCTCGCCCGTAATTATATTGCTGTCGCGCTCGCACTTACTGCGGCCACCCGTCGCACAATGTCATTGTACGAAATTCTATCTACTCGACGACCGGACTTTAGCAATGTTTCGATACAGCTATTGAGTAGCAATAAGGGTTTTCGCGATTGAAAAATCCGCCAGATGGCAATACGTAGATAGACGGGAGGTCCAAATGCTGCATGATTGGTGGATTTTGACATATCTGTCAATGTCATGTCAAAAATAACCAATCATGCAGTATTTGGACCTCGCGTCTACGTATTGCTATCTGGCGGATTTTTCAATCGCGAAAACCCTCATTGCTTAATAGTAGTATCACGGTAATACTATCTATACAGTATTCCAACTCAGCCATATTTTTTAAATAAATGTCAACAGCCCCNAAAACATTGTATTTTGTAGGTCCATTGAAGTAAAATGATATTTAAAAATATTAACTAGGTGTCAGGGTTTCCGTCCACGTGGACGAAAACCAAAATCTTGCAAAATTGTTATGCTAGTATTAGTCCACTTAATTATCTATGATTTCTATACAAAAACTTTAATAAACTCTTAAAATAGTGTTTATTATGCTAATAATTAGACATACGTGCCAAAAACATTACGTAAAGTAGCTAAAACAGTAATTAAACATACCATGAAAGTTCCCTACTGGCACGTTTTTTTTCTAACTTGACGACGTTTTCCATTTACCTGTGTGCAGCAGCAACTTCCGTAGATTTGTTTGGAGTTATTACTTGTCAAATTACATTTTCATGCAGGCAGAACTGTTACTTAGATATTATAGATTGTAACAAGTCCAAACTTGCACGGAAAGTTAGGTTTGTATTCTAATTTTCCGTAATTGTTTGTGGCAAGTCGGTCAAATGGACGAAAACAGGAGCTGGACGGAAAACCGGCGCAATTACCCTACTCGACCGACATGAAAAATTAAAATTCTTATTAGAATACCATTACAATCCTATTTTTTTAAATTCATAATTATAAAATTTTATTAATATCCGTTTCCGTGTGAAGCCCGGGCGTTCAAATTCATTTTTTTTGCGTTCCGTATTGTAGGTTTGTAATAAAGAGGGTAAGGTAGTTTCGAATAAATGTTTACTCTGGCAAGTAAGTAGTCAGTGATTGTCGCGCGATTTCGAATTTTCGATATAATTTTGCCATTGCAAAATCAACCTTATCACGATACGAACAACGTCGATATTTTTTTCAAGATCGTACAGTCGTCATCAAATAAGACTACATTTTTGTAAAAAAAATAGACTATTAACATCCGCTTGATGGTCCGTGCCTATTTTAAACAAAATGGCGGATTTACACTATGCGGAAATTAGCCGAGTCAAATCAAAAACCCCACTGTTTTTTTGACTTGACTTGGCTAATTTCTGCGCAGTGTAAAAGCAGCAAAAGAAAAAAATCAACATTGGCAATCATCATGCACGCTGATCGCGTAGGTTTTCGTTAAAACAAATACAAATTTTAACCACTTACAAGTCTATATTCAGTTGATTCGCGTTTCACAAGACTGCCTCTGACTTTGTTACTAAAATTAACGCTTGAAATTGTATTTTAATGCTGAAAAACTGTGATTAAACGAAGTAAAAATGGCGCCAACTTTCACGACACACGTACGACTGTCATGGCGGCCGCCGCTTCACTGCGCTGCAGAGAACTAAATGGATTCGGGCGCGACAGAATACCGCGTCCCGAGTCCAAAAAATAATTCCAAATATTGTAATAAATTCCTAGTATTATACAAAGACCCTTGTGTGTGGAATTGCTACGTTAAATAATAATTTAGACTTATTTTATTTGATTTTAGAAAGGTAAGTAAGTAGGTACGTTACCTGTTTATTAGGACCCCCCCTAGAATATTATTAATCGTTTTATTTTAATTAGGTTACTTATTTGACGATTTATGGACTCTATTGACATAAGAAATTAAAATAAAGTTTCTTCTAATAATCTAGATTTTTTTAGATCGGAGCATACATGGTCACACATACATAGCACAGCAGATTATTATTATTTTTTGTAAAATAGCAACTATTATTATAATTATTACGAGTAGGTAGATGCCCCAGTGTTTAGTTTCGTTTCATGTGCGCTGTCTATTTTGATCCCAATGAATTATAAACTTTATGTCCTTACCATAGAAGTCAGATTAGATTAATAGACTACATACCTACATAACACGTTAAACTTTTGTAGTAGTTAAGCACCTATTTCAAGTGATTAAGATGATACTATGTATTATGTATTGTAACAGGTTTCCTAAGTTTAACTCACAAAAGATCTACCTCTCTCCCCACGGAATCGAATGCGTGACCTCGGATTAAATATACGAGGAGACCGGTATTTAGAAACAAATCAAAAACCCCTCCTGCTGGCGTAATCGGGTAAAAAAACCTAAGAATCGACTTTTTATCCCAGTGGGTCCAGACAAAGTGCAAATTATAGTCGCAAACCAGTCGAAAAGTGGTCGAAAAGCCCCTTTTTTGTATGGTGTTTTGACGGATTCGATTTTCGATTCGATCAAAAAGTGCGTTTTGTCTAGGGGGGCAGAGAGCGAAAACCTTCTTTCAAAAACAAGGATAAAAACTACCTATCATAATACGTTTTTCTCCTTGCTTTTAAAAATCACTCTATCTTGCTAATAGTGAAAACCGCATGAAAATCCGTTCATTAACTTTTTATCGCAAACAAATTAATTACTAATTTGAAAAATAACCCTCTCCCGCCTGGCGCAGTCGGGTAAAAAAAGGAAGATTTTTTAAAAGGCGACAGAGCAAAAAAAAATAGAGATTAAAAATAAGATCAGAAACTTCCGGAAAGTAACGGAAAGTAGGTATCAAAAGACTGAACTAGTAAATTTTGTGAAATTACTCTAAAAATAATTGCGTGACGAGTCACACTGGCACGTCGTACCTACTACAGTATCATAGTGCGTCAACGCGTCATCACTGAATCATCATAAAATTCGATAACGCGAATTTACGCGACCGTACGTCACGTAATCACGTCTCGTGGAATAGGTATTTCCCAGTAATGTGGATTTAATTGTCACTAACAATAACCGTGGGAAATCATTAAACGATATTAATCCATTATTTTTATCACTTTGAGGAAGTACAGTTTATTATCATACTGGTTTTGTTCCTGTCTTATACGAGTTATGAGGTGAAGAAAACTCTTTGTGATGTGTGAACAGGTGTCACTTTTGGAGTGCAAAAAACCTGGCATACTGTTCTGAGATGTCCCTTGAATAGGATCAAATTGAATAAACGCGTGGATTTCTAAAGTAGCCCTTATTGTACATATTACTAGCTTTCCGACCTCCCCGCGGCTTCGCCCGCGTGGAATTTTGTCTGTCACAGAAAAACTTTATCGCGCGAGTCCCTGTTTCAAAAACCGGGATAAAAAGTATCGTATGTCCTTTCCCGAGAATCAAACTATCTCTATGCCAAATTTCATCAAAATCGGTTCAGTGGTTTAAGCGTGAAAGCGAGACAGACAGACATACAGAGTTAATTTCGCATTCATAATATTAGTATAGATAGATCTAGCGTACCTACTTCGGCTTTTGTGTGATATTATTCTATTTAAAATGCAAAAATAACTATCTGTACTTAATCTTTTCTCACTAAACCACTGAACCGATTTTGATGAAAGGTATACTTAGTGTGAGACGCAAAGAAAGATATAGGATTTTATTTCATTCAGATAAGTAAGCATTACTGTGACTGTGACAGATAAAAATCAAAAGCGTGGGCAAAAGCTACAAATATTATTGAGTTTTATCAAACTTCTTAATTTAAAGCCCAAATAGGAGTTAAATAAATTGACCTTGACGTCCAATCACTGAAACCAATTTTAATGAATAAAAGAGACGCATGATGAACCACGTTATAATCATTTTGCGCATGTGCGAGAAACAAATAGGTAGGTATATAGACCCAGGATTTAATATTTTATGGTACATGGTACAATTATGACATCAGATCAAGATTATCACTGTGGTATCTTATTGCTGTTGTAACAGGGGCTATTTTGTAGCAAAAATATCCATTTCTGTTGTGCTCTTGACTGTACTTGTGTATAACCATCGAACGAAAAATAAAGTCTAAAATAAAAATAGGCTTTAAAAGGTGATTCTACACTTCTCAGATAGAGTAGTTCTACTTCTAACCTTTTATCGAGACAACAGACAACATATTGGGCCAATAAAGCAGAACGCAAGAAATTCGATCACTTCTGTCAGCTTCTTTTTGAAGGGTTTAACTGGTGATGATTGTGCTACTGTGAAAAAGACATAAAATTAATTTCACCAACAAACAACCCATCCATATCCATCAAACTATGTTTATTGTTTTGAAATACTATTTTTTAGCTTAATATTAAAACCACGCTTGTACTGAACAGATTTTGATGAAACTTTACAGTTGCAGTATTATCGTTTATAACTTCTATTTACATAAAGGCTATAATTTATGACAATATTGACAAACTGATTTTCACGTGGGTGAAGCCGCGGGCAAAAGCTAGTTCATAAATCATAATTAAAAGTTTTTGTCTTGTGCCGTCCATAAAGTCCCTATCATAAACAAATAACTATGTTAACGCTGCGTAAAACGGAACGTATCGAAACTGCGTGACAGACAAAGCGCGGCTCCAAGTGTGTGGTCGTGTAGTATTTTCCGAAATCGTACACATTTAGTAACTTTTTTGTGTTTTTGGAGTTAGCTGTTCTGTTGTTAATTTCTACTCGTACAATTTTATTATATTATTAATCTAATTAGGTACTATTTTATTTTGAATAGATTAAATATTTAAAATCTGTCCATTAATTTAGACATTATTATTATTTACAACATAAGCACTTAGGCGATTTTATTGGTTTTTTACAAATACATCCCTCGCTATACATCCTCGCACATCTCTAGTGGAAACGCAGCCTAATACGGGTCTCGAGCGCGTGTTTTGCTCTACACAATCAATAAAAACATCTCAACATTCAACAAAATCGTCTACAAAAAATGGTGACAGTCTTGTTCTTGTTTATTGTGTAGGACAAAACACGTGCTGGAGACTTGGCACACTTGGTAGATACATTATGGCATTTAAAAAATTACAATGAATAAATAATTTTAGTTAAATAAAACTGAAATAAAATTTTAATTCAAAGAATCAATTATTACAAAACTGCTCAATTTTTAGGGGTTGATAAATCCGAAATTTGAGAAGTTCTCCGTATCAATCGAGCCACATTTCGCATGCACATTTTTATTTAATGAATTTACTGTAGGTACTAAAATATTTTTTGAGTAAGTAACTTATTAGAAAAACAGCTGTTTTGATTAGAAAGCGAAGAGTAGCAAAATGCAAAATTGATTTTTTGTATGTTTTAAAATGAAACCGAGTACAAATTAAAAACTAATCCTGGCAACATTACGTCACAGTGCCACAGCCCAGCCAAAATGGACGACGATCGGTACGTAATAAATTCCTCCGTTATTTGTACTAGTTCCTTAATATCTGTGATTTCACTGTAATTGTTATTGTTTACATCGTTCAAGTAAAGTGTTAACTATTAGAATTTTTATTTTGTAGTGATGATGAAAGTCATGAAAACATCAAAAAGAGTGGTGTTTGGAAGCATTTTGAGATCGCAAATGACAGGGACCGAACTGCTACATGCAATATTTGTTTCAAGCTGTTGTCCTATCGGACTAGCATCACCAATTTGAAGAAACATCTCGCAAGGAAGCACGGTGATGATGAAGATATGCTTTCAAAGATCTCTGATGATGAAGGGGAGACCATTGAGGAGCTGGAGACATATCTAGAGGACGCCGGGTAAGTTTTTTTTTTTTTGTAATCATAACCTCTAAAATGAATTTGGCGGGATTTTTTTGTTCTACATAAAATTAATTGAAAAAGTTTCTGTGTAACAGTAGGTAGTTAATTTGCACAGTAATTTACAATACCTAGGTACTAGCATTTGCCAATTTTGATTTCATGAATTTAGATGTCCTAACCATACAGGTCTAAAAAGTTTGTATTAAAAGTACCTAATTCAGTTAATTCCTTGACGTTCATTTAATTTTTTTACATTTCTAAATAAATTATATTTTAGAACTTAAACACCCCACAGATTACAGAATATTTGTCGGCTAATAATTGGGCAGTTGATCAATAGTCAATATTATGCATATTACACCAATTAGTTATCGGCCAAATTATTGCTCAGAAAAATTTTAAGCGAACCTAACTATCGTTACAAATTCTGTATTCTGCAAGGGCTTTTAGGTACACTTATGTCTCTTTGAAAACTTTCATCGTTACAATTGTGTATGCAGGCTGGCTGTATCACTCTTGGTGTCAGACATAAAGCATTACTGATTAAGATGCCTTGACAATTCTAAGTCCAAATATAGTAAGAAAACTTATGTTTTTAGTGAGGAAGATGTCCCAATCGATAAAAGAAAGATACTCCGGAACGGGGCGTGGGAGTACTTTGAAATAATTGACGAGGAACAACGGCTAGCGGTGTGCATTTTATGTAAAGAACAGTTCTCGTATCGGACCACATCGTCGAACCTGGCCAAACATCTTAAGAGACGGCATTACGCGGATATAGAGAACACCGAGTTCTTTAACGTCACAAATAACGAAGATGACGACAATGACTTGAGGTAAATAAAAAATTGTTCGTAAAAAATTAAAATTCAACCGTTAAAATAAATCCTGATACAAATCCATTCTCATCCAACAGCGTAAATATAACCGGTGGTCACAGGACAAGCGCTGCTTGGGACTACTTTACGATCAAAGATCCAGTCCGTCGTATAGCCACTTGCAAGCTGTGCGAGTGTGTGTGCTCCTACCTGAGCTCCGTCTCGAATCTGATGAAGCATGTGAGAAGGAAACACGGTGTTGCAAGCGAGCGTGACGAAGAGTTTGTCGTTGGAGATGACTCTGAGACAGAAGGCATCAAGTGAGTCCGTTAAAATAAAATAAAAGTTATTGCTTTAAATTACACAAATTACCATAAAAAAGTTATTACAGGTAAAATAATTGGACAGATTTTATTACCAGAGTGATAACAGCTATTAAGTTTAAAATTAATAATTACCGTAATTTTTCTATTATGTAAATAATAAATAAATATCCTTGGACATTTTACACGGCGCCTCTAGTCTTAAACTAAGCAAAAGCATAAACTATAGGTACTTACTAGACAATGTTTTTAAATTTATTTTTGTAAATACATACTTATTAGATAGAAAACACCCAGACCAATACAAACAAATATTTTCATGCACACAATTTGTACTGTGCGGGAATCGAACCCGCAACCTCTCGACGTAATAGTCCGTTACAAACCACTACACTAAACGGCCGACTAAAAATTTAATCTAATGTAGATTTAAGTTTCTACCTTTTATATCTTTGTTTTGTTGAAAATTGATTAATTGTTTTTATAGCTACGATAGCCGAACGGTGAAGGGGTTGGAGTGGCCGACTCGAGATCCGAGGAACGCGGGTTCGAATCCCACCGCTCGACTATTGTGGTGAGCCCACTCGTAACACAAGCTTATTTAGCTTAACACGAGGGGCTAACGGGACTATTAGTAATTTGTGCAATACAAATTGCTAATAATCTTTGTTTTTATTTTAAATAACATTTTGGTGATTGGGACACAAAAAGGGAATAATATAATACTGCTTCAATAGCAATCGTCGTAACAATTCTTTAGTTATTTACATGCATGTCTTAAAATTTCACTGTAAAACAAATTGCAAATTAATGAATACATACTAACAAATAGATTTTATCATAACTTTAATCTAGTCATCTAAAGTCAGGTTGCCGAGAAGATAGAATTTGGGGTCATTATACGAAATTCTATCTGCTCGGCGACCGGACGTTAGCTCCAAAGTAATTAAGGTTCCGGACAATGATTAAAAATAATTTTAGACATTTTTATTACGTAATACTTCTACTTAACCATAGAAAACGCCCAGACCAGACCAATGTTGTGCGATTTTCGAACTCGCCACCACATAACAGAAAAAACAAATAATTTAAGTTAATATTTAGTGGGGTATGTGACATACCACTAAATATTAACTTAAATGATTGTTGATGTACCACATGGTGACAAGTTTTGACATACCGTATCTCAAAACTTGTCACCATGTGGTGCTAAGGCTGTAGGACTATTCCCACCTCTCGTTTCCACCACTGCAACTCTTGTGTAGCCAGGATCTATAGCTTGACCGCCGCTACTAACCAGCGAAGGTCAAGTTTGTCCCGGGGGAAAGTTACTGTCATTGGACGGAAGGTGCAAACGCTCTGAAAAAGGCCTTCAAATTAATAAAGAATTTAACTTTATTTTTTTGGTTCTTTTGGGACATCTTCGTCAATACGTCTTATGGAACAGTTACAGTTATGCTTATTAAATGTCATGCTTATTAGCATGCTTAAAACAAGCGTGCTCGAACAACTTGAAATGAGCATACTCAATATTTAAGTCCGGTCGCCGAGCAGATAGAATTTCGTACAATGACCCCAAGTTACCCATCCTTATCGCTCGCGCGTAATTATGTTGCTGTCGCGCTCGCACTTACTGCGGCCACCCGTCGCACAGTGTCATTGTACGAAATTCTATCTACTCGGCGACCGGACTTTAGCAATGTTTTGATACAGCTATTGAGTAGCAATGAGGGTTTTCGCGATTGAAAAATCCGCCAGATGGCAATAGGTAGACGGGAGGTCCAAATGCTGCATGATTGGTGGATTTTGACATATCTGTCAATGTCATGTCAAAAATAACCAATCATGCAGTATTTGGACCTCGCGTCTACGTATTGCTATCTGGCGGATTTTTCAATCGCGAAAACCCTCATTGCTTAATAGTAGTATGCTCTCGTGCTAGTAATGAGCATGTGCAATTGTACCATATGTCAATACCATTTATTCAATATCATTGAATTGTCAAGACATCTTCAAACGTGTTGAAAACCAGAGATTAAATATAAAATCATATCTGACACCAAGGTTGTGATCGACACGCCAGCAATAGAAATCAATCATCCTACAGATCTGAAACAGATACCAAAAAAGGGTCAGAGATATACAAAAAACCTTACGAAAGGTCCAAAAGTAGCGCCGTGTGGGAGCACTTCACTGTAAAAGACAATGTCAAAAAAATAGCTACATGCAAGGTGTGTGACCACACGTTATCTTACTTAAGTACGACGAGCAACCTCAAGAAACATTGGAGCAACAAGCATTGCGTCCAGAAAGAGAGAGTCACGCGTGTTGTTGATGATGATGAAACGGATTGTGAGAAGTGAGTCACTTACATACAGTTCGCGAGGCGTAAGCTGAGCTTTACATTTGAGTGACCCAATGTTTGTATAGAAATATTTAACACAAAAACTAATTATTAAGAATTAAACTCGTAGTCGTACCTGTAGAAGAGTTGAAGTGTGCTCGGTGGACTTGCACCTCAGATCGATTGCCAAAAAGCTGTATAGATCGTATCATCCACGAAGACGCGCCCCACCATTCTTCCGCCAATGTTTGAGTGTTATCGGTAACCGAATAAATAAATAAACACGTTAAATTATCCATAATAAGTGCACACGCACACTACAATAATGACGCTCGGATTGCTCGGATCATCAAACTCACCGCACCCCGCGCTTCCCTCGACCAAAAATTGGTGGGGCGCGTCTTCGTGGATGAAACGATCTATAATATAAAATAAACTGTCACATCTACACTATCCATGTGCACATACAAATGCAAAGTTGAGCTTAGGCTTCGCGACCTGTAGGTACTTAGTTTTAGTCTATAGTCTGGTCTGCGAGCACGTAGAATTTTGTCCAATGACCCCAAGCTACCCATCCTTATCGCTCGCGCGTAATTATGTTGCTGTCGCGCTCGCACACTAACTGCGAGCGCCCGTCACACAGTCGCGACAGCAAGCGACAAGGATGGGTAGCTTGGGGTTATTGGACAAAATTCTAAGTGCTCGCAGACTGGGCTTTACACGGCATTTGATGTAACTTCAGCGTTGTGCCATATTCAATTTATACATAGTTATAAACTTGCTTATTATAAGTTTAGTAAATTAAATCTTGTGCCTTAGACTTTTAAGATAACAGAACAATAATCCAACAGCTGGGTAACGGACACAGAAAACGTAATACCAAATGACAGAAGGAGGCGCAACTCAAGTGTCGCATGGAGACACTTCACAATTCAAGACTCAGACAAATGCATAGCGAAGTGCAATCTGTGTGCCAAGTCTTTGTCGTACTTGACCACCAGAACTAACCTGGTGAGACATTTTAGAAACAAACATGGCGGCCAGAAAAAGAAAGACACTCATAATGATGATGAGACGGAATGTGAGAAGTGAGTGGTTTTAGCCTCTGACGTGACCACAGCGCGATGTAGGCGCGTGATTTGACAGTGGTCTAAAGACCGGTCTGTGTGCACGTAGAATTTTGTCCAATGACCCCAAGCTACCCATCCTTATCGCTCGCGCGTAATTATGTTGCTGTTGCGCTCGCGCACTCTCTGCGGGCGCCCGTCGCACAGTCGCGACAGCAATATAATTACGCGCGAGCGATAAGGATGGGTAGCTTGGGGTCATTGGACCAAATTCTACGTGCTCACAGACCAGACTGTAGCTAAGGCCCGATTTCTACCAAAGCGGAGTTGTGTTTGAATTAGGGCCCCAATTGCACTAATTTGTAATGTCTCCAATTCATTCGCACTTATCTCCAGTTGCGCTCCGTTTCCGTTTAATCTTCAGGATTTGTCAAATAGCTGATTTTCGTTCGTCGTCCAGTCGCGTTGCAGCTGAAAATTTTTGCGCAATCGAGGTCCAGTTTTCCGAACCAAAGCTGAGTTGAGTGGTTGAGCGGAGGAAATAATGAAATCTGATTGGTTATTCAAACTTCGATTTGGTAGAAACCGGGCCTATGTCACATGATTATAGAGACAACAGACAAAGCTTCTTAAAAGCGCTTTTTAAAAGCCTATTTGCAGAAAATAGATGATTTATAATAAAACGTTTGTTTTTATTTGTACAGAGAACAATAGTGTCTAGACAAACCTAAAAAGGATTTAGGACGCTATTTGGATCAAATATGTAATTGCTCAATAATGAATAATAAATAAATAAATAAATAAAATTTAAATGCGACAACTAAATCTTCAACCACACCAACGCGTGTAGATCCCTATTGGCCGGTGCGATCATAAGCCAATGATCGCGCCGGCGATGGCGTTCTGCACGCGTTGTTGTGATTGAAGCATAACATCGCGTTGACATTGCGCTGCTGTCACGCCAGCTGTGTAACAGAGTCTTAAGACAAGACTTGTAAGATAAAAGAAAAATCTCTTCCAACAGTTCGGGAACTGAAACGCAAAACGTTACACACCCAAAGGACAGAAGCAAAATAGGTGCTGTATGGGAGCACTTCACTATCACAGACCCTGTCAAAAAAATTGCGAAATGCAACGTGTGTCACAATTCTTTTTCGTACTATAGTACGACGGCTAACTTGATGAATCACTTCAGACGTTTTCATGGCGTCCAGAAAGGGAAGGAAGATGATAGCAGCAGTTCCGAAAATGAAACAGAAAACGTAACACACTTAAATGACAGAAAGAAAACTAGACGCAGGAAAAATTTAGTATGGGAACATTTCACCATCGAAAACCCTGTCAAAAAAATTGCAAAGTGCAACGTGTGTCACAATTCTTTCTCGTACTTTACTACGACTGCTAACTTGATGAACCATACGATAGTAGCGCATGGCGTCCAGAAAGGGAAGGAAGATGATAGCAGTTCAGAAAATGAAACAGAAAACGTTACGCCAACAAATGACAGAAGGAAAAAAGGTGCTGTATGGGAGCACTTCACTATCATAGACCCTGTCAAAAAAATTGCAAAGTGCAACGTGTGTCACAAGTCTTTTTCGTACTTTAGTACGACGGCTAACTTGATGAATCACTTGAGACGCATTCATGGCGTCCAGAAAGGGAAGGAAGATGATAGCAGTTCAGAAAATGAAACAGAAAACGTTACACACTCAAAGGACAGAAGCAAAATAGGTGCTGTATGGGAGCACTTCACTATCACAGACCCTGTCAAAAAAATTGCGAAATGCAACGTGTGTCACAATTCTTTTTCGTACTATAGTACGACGGCTAACTTGATGAATCACTTCAGACGTTTTCATGGCGTCCAGAAAGGGAAGGAAGATGATAGCAGCAGTTCCGAAAATGAAACAGAAAACGTAACACACTTAAATGACAGAAAGAAAACTAGACGCAGGAAAAATTTAGTATGGGAACATTTCACCATCGAAAACCCTGTCAAAAAAATTGCAAAGTGCAACGTGTGTCACAATTCTTTCTCGTACTTTACTACGACTGCTAACTTGATGAACCATACGATAGTAGCGCATGGCGTCCAGAAAGGGAAGGAAGATGATAGCAGTTCAGAAAATGAAACAGAAAACGTTACCGACCCAAAGGACAGAAGGAAAAAAGGTGTTGTATGGGAGCACTTCACTATCACAGACCCTGTTAAAAAAATTGCGAAGTGCAACGTGTGTCACAAGTCTTTCTCGTACTTTAGTACTACGGCTAACTTGATGAATCACTTGAGACGCATTCATGGCGTCCAGAAAGAAAAGGATGATGATAGCAGCAGTTCGGAAAATGAAACAGAAAACGTTACGCACTCAAAGGACAGAAGCAAAATAGGTGCTGTATGGGAGCACTTTACTATCGAAAACCCTGTCAAAAAAATTGCAAAGTGCAACGTGTGTCACAATTCTTTTTCGTACTTTAGTACGACGGCTAACTTGATGAATCACTTCAGACGTTTCCATGGCGTCCAGAAAGAGAAGGAAGATGATAGCAGTTCCGAAAATGAAACAGAAAACGTTACACACTCAAAGGACAGAAGGAAAAAAGGTGCTGTATGGGAGCACTTCACTATCGAAAACCCTGTCAAAAAAATTGCAAAGTGCAACGTGTGTCACAATTCTTTCTCGTACTTTACTACGACGGCTAACCTGATGAACCATACGATAAGAGCGCATGGCGTCCAGAAAGAGAAGCAAGATGGTACAAATGACGATATGGAATCCGAGAAGTGAGTCATAATAATAATAATAAATATCCTTGGACATTTTACACTGCGCCGCTAGCCCCAAACTAAGCAAAGCTTGTATTATCGGTACTAGACAATGGATATAAACATACTTAAATACTTTTTTTTGTAAATATATACATATTATTATACATAGAAAACACCCAGACCAATTTTTTCCCGGCCGGGAATCGAACCCGGGACCTCTCGGCATAGTAGTCCGTTCTGAACCACTACACCAAACAGCCGACAACAACGGCAACGGCGACTTTGCATTTGTGTGTGTGATTACCAAAAGTAGAGTGAGAGAAAAAACTTACAAAAATCGCAAAAATGTTTGTATGGAAAAAATTAACACAAAAACTAAATACAAAGAGTTAAACACGTCACGCTGCTACTAGGGCAAGAGGTGAAGTGTGACTGAAGCGCGGCGGTCTTGCGCCCCAGACCGATACCTAAAAAGCGGTAATATAAACTGTCACACCTCCACTATCCATGTGTGTCTCGCACAAATGCAAAGCTCAGTTTAGGCTAGAACTGTACTTGATTTTAGTCTTAAAATCCGGTCGCCGAGCAGATAGAATTTCGTACAATGACCCCAAGCTACCCATCCTTATCGCTATTTGCTGTCGCACTCGCACACTCACTGCGGCCGCCCGCCGCATAGTCGCGATAGCAATATAATTACGCGCGAGCGAAAAGGGTGGGTAACTGGGTAGCTCGGGGTCATTGTACGAAATTCTATCTGCTCGGCGACCAGATTTTACTCAGCATCTTTGTAACTCCAGCGCGATGTTGTGCCATATTAAACTGTTTAACATTGCATTAATAAGTTTAGTAAACTAAATATTGTTCTTGTAAGATAAAAAAAATAATCCAACAGCTCAGGAACGGTAACAGAAAACGTAAAAGACGGAAGGAGACGCAAGACAAGTATCGCATGGAAATACTTCACAGTTCAAGACTCTGACAGATGCATAGCGAAGTGTAAGCAGTGTGACAAATCAGTTTCCTATTTCAGTAGTGTCTCGAATCTTATGAAACATATCGACAATAAGCACCACGGGAAAAAGAGGAAACTTAGTTCTGAGGCTCAAGGCAAGAAGTGAGTTGGTTCTTTAGTTACAAAGTGTCAGTCACCTATATTTACAAACATTACTATAAGGCAGAGTAAATACAAATGAGTAGGTCATCTTCATAGAAACGCCCGAGCGCGGTTTGTATGTGAGCGCGCCAATACGTATGCGGCGCGAACGCACACACTGACAAAATTTAGCGTTGATTAGCGGTGAGTTGCCCCGAAATATAAATAAAATAAAAGTAAAATAAATTTTGTCAGTGTGTGCGTGCGCGCCGCATACACGTATTGGCGCGCGCTCACATACAAACCGCGCTCGGTGCGTTTCTATGAAGATGACCTACTCATTTGTATTTACTCTGTATAAAGTCTCACAGTGCGCGTGGAAGTACAGGGTGACATTTGAACCAATCACAGAGCTCTATTCAACGCTGTGAACGATTTTCTGCTTAACTTAAGCAAGCATCGTTTGTGAATACGGGTGAGTGACTGTGAGGCGACTTGAGTGCGATGTTACGTCTCTTAGGACCTATAATAATCTAAAACTCGCGCGGGTTAAGTTGCGATTAGTTTCATAGGTCATGAGTCAACCATCGCCACCCTGTATAATTAAATCCTGAAATAAAATTAAGAAACGATCAGATAGAGAGAGCTTCTTTGTGGCTTCTTCAAACTATACGGCTGGTTATAGTGTCACGCGGACCGTCACTGCGGATCGCTCCGCACAGCCGATCTGTATGAACTGCTAGGGAGCGAGCGGTTTCTCTGGACAGCATTACTCTAAAACGCTTCCTAGAATTTCAAACAGATTGGCCGTGCGGAGCGGTTCCGCACCGGAAGGTCCGCGTGACACTTAAACCAGCCTACGTGACGTTGCATTCACGTCGCGCCACTGTCACGCTGACTGTAAGCTTTACCGGTGCTTTGGTTACACAAAGTAGTACAATCGGCTTCAAATAGTTAGTGACACCCAAAGTAACCAACAAACACGTCTTTGTTACAATGAGGGTTTTCGCGAATGAAAGATCCGCTAGATGGCGGGACGTGGATGTGGGGTCTGACTGCTGCGTGATTGGTGGATTTTGACATATATCTGTCAATCTCATGTCAAAAATAACCAATCATGCAGCATTTGGACCTCGCGTCTACGTATTGCCATCTGGCGGATTTTTCATTCGCGTAAACCCTCATTGAAATAAGGTTGTGTTGTCAAATTTTTGGCCACTCTGGGTGTCACGGACTATTTGACGCTGACTGAACAGTCGACATCCTATCAGACAATACAATTTCTTCAGATGTTAAAGTTGATGTGATCCTTCATACAGGGTGGAAACGTTAAGTGATCTCACTCGATTATTTCTAAACTATACAAGATATCGAAAAACTGATTACTGATTCTGAAAGTGCTTCACAAGATCTTTCAAACGGTACCAATAATAGGTTACAGAATAAACTGGATCTATCCGAAAATTCAATGTTTATAGCTTCCATACATTTAGTACAGCCACAGTCATAGCACTCATGTCTTGTTAATATTATAGCAAGTAAAGCCTAAAACCAATGTTTTCAACGAATAGTTTTAAATAAGAATGCAATTTACGAGTTCATTTAAAGTGTTTATTATTTAATAAAAAAAATTAATACTTCTATTATTGTTTGACTGGCATACATTTAGTATGGAGGCTGAAAACATTAAATTTTCGGATAGATCCAGTTAATTCTGTAACCTAATATTGGTACCGTTGTATAGAGCTTGTGAAGCACTTTCAGGATTAGTAACCAGTTTTTCGATATCTTGTATAGTTTAGAAATAATCGAATGAGATCACTTATCATTTCTACCCTGTATAGTCCGGTCGCCGAACATGCAAAATTTCGTCCAATGACCCCAAGCTACCCATCCTTATCGCTCGCGCGTAATTATATTTCTGTTGCGCTCGCACACTCACTGTTGCCGCCCGTCGCACAGTCGCGACAGCAATATAATTACGCGCGGGCGACAAGGATAGGTAGCTTGGGGTCATTGGACGGAATTCTACGTGCTCGGCGACCAGACTTTAAAAATAATGCCTTTCTACAGCTCGGAAACGGAAACTCGTAAAAAAATACGCACTGAAAAGCGCAAAAGCATTGCATGGAAATATTTCACTATTAAAGACCATGCAAGTAAAATAGCCACATGCACGCTGTGTGGGAAATCAATGTCTTACTCTAGTGTATCGAACTTGATGAAGCACGTGCAAAATGTGCATAGGAAACACAATATCAGCGATGGTCGAAAGAATGACAACGATGACTCCGAGAATAATGCCGAGTGAGTCTTGTGTTATTATAGCCACAGTACACATGCTACTTTTGGCATCGGCAAGCCGCTTTAAGGCTCGGCACAAATGGGCCACCGACCACAGCCACCGGTGGCCAGCGACGGCGACTTAATTAACACAGTTTTTGTTAGTGGCGAGTCGCGGACACTACTATAGCGAGTGGCCGCCACCGGACACACGTGTGCAGCGCGTCTATACAAATATATTAAAAAGTGTGTTTAGTCGCCGTCGCTGGCCACCGGTGGCTGTGGTTGGTGGCCCATTTGCGACATTTTTCACACTAAGCGACATGCGACAGCGACAGTTCGGCGACTTAAACGCGACGACAGGCTGCGGTTGACAATATAGTACTAGCGACCCGCCCCGGCTTCGCACGGGTGCTAAGTATACATTTATAAACCTTCCTCTTGAATCACTTTGTCTATTAAAAACCACATCAAAATCTGTTGCGTAGTTTTAAAGATCTAAGCATACAATGACATAGAGACAGCGGAAAGAGACTTTGTTTTATACTATGTAGTGATATTGATTTTGTTCCAAGCTTAGCACACTTGGGGTCATAGGCATAGGCGTCTGGTCGCTGAACTATCGAAGTCGCGTGTCGCCTATTGTGCGCCTACACTTAGCTGAATGTAGTCACAACATTCCCCGCACACTTAAAAACGCGAAACAGCTTGACGCAGCGACAGTCGCTAAAACGCGCGATTTCCATATCCCGTCCGAACGGATGCAGTCGTGAAATTGCGATGTTTCATCGTTACAGTCGCGATATCGCCGATGCTGAAAGAAGCATGTTGTGGGCCTTAATTCCCAATTTTTGTAAAATCCAAAGCTAAAGTCCGGTCGCCGAGCACGTAGAATTTCGTCCAATGACCCCAAGCTACCCACCCTTATCGCTCGCGCGTAATTATATTGCTGTCGCGCTCGTACACTCACTGCAGCCGCCCGTCGCACAGTCGCGACAGCTTGGGGTCATTGGACGAAATTCTACGTGCTCGGCGACCAGACTAGATGGAAATTCGAAACTATTATGGAAACATTCATAAATGAACAACATTTTTTGCGATTCAGAACATAATTTTCTAGAGAATGTTAGCTTTGTAAATGGAAATGTTCCAATAATATAAAGCTATGACGGTCTCCAACTAGCCTAGGGCTAAGATACCGGTTGTGATAACATCTTATCGGTGATTTTAGACGACAAATATATGGGCTTATCGCGTAAAATTGACAAATCACGATAAAAGCTTATCGCGGCGCGTATCCTAGGCCTACTGGTTCAGTGGTTTGCGTACTGGATAACTATGCAAGAGGTCGCGGGCTCGATTCCCGCATAGTACAAACATTTGTGTGCATGAAAATAACTGTTTGAAATTGGGCGTTGTCTATGTAATTATAATGTACGTATTTAAAAAAGTATATCTGTTTAAATTTGTCTTTGGTCTGGGCGTTTTCTATGTATAAAAAAGTTTTAAAGTCAGTTTTCTGACCTATAGTACAAGCTTTGCTTAGTTTAGGACTAGATGGCGCAGTGTAAGATGTTCAAGATGTCCCTAGTGTCCCCCCTACTATGTCCCTAGCAACCTTCTAGTATCCCTGCAGTGTTCCTCCAGTGTCCCCTCCAGTAGTTTCTCCCTAGTGTCCCTCCAGTGTCCTCCCAGTAGTTTCCCTAATGTCCCTTCAGCGTCACCCCAGTTGTCTATACCTAGAGACTCTCCAGTGTCCCTACTAAAGTACGGCCAACGAGAAGCGATACAAAAGGTCGATTCGACTCCTTCCAGTTTCTCCCCAGTTGTTTCTCCCTGGAGTCCCTTCAGTTTTCCCCTAGTATATCCCTAGTGTCCCCCAGTTATCTCTCCCTAATATCCCTCCAGTATGTCCCTAGTATCCCTCCAGCACCCTCTAGTTTCCTTCCATTATCCCCCCAGCGACCAATAATACATTTTCCAGAAACGAAAGTAACAAGCGGTCTCCAATATGGCTGTACTTCAAATGCATAGACAAAGTGGCCAAGATATCTGTCTGTCTCATCTGTAAACGGCAGCTGTCTCACCTGACTTCTATTACTAATTTAAAAAAGCATTTGTACAGGAAGCACCCGGGGGTCAAGCTGAAGGATATGCACGATGTAAGTATTGAACGTTTCTTTCTAGTTTTATCCACTAATTATACAGGGTGTCCCAAAAACAATGGATAACCCAGTAACCATCGATAGGCCTCGACAGTCGCGAAAACGCGCGATTTCCATATCGCGTCCGAACGGATGCAGTCGTGAAGTCGCGATGTTTCATCGTTACAGTCGCGATATCGTCGATGCTGAAAGTATCATGTTATGGGCCATTGTTCCCAATCTTTATAAAGGCCAAAGCTAAAGTCCGGTCTGTCAGCACGTAGAATTTTGTCCAATGACCCCAAGCTACCCATCCTTATCGCTCGCGCGTAATTACACACTCACTGCGGCCGCCCGTCGCACAGTCGCGACAGCTTGGGGTCATTGGACGAAATTCTACGTGCTCGGCGACCAGACTAGATGTAAATTCGAAACTAATACCACAGCTAATACATTCACGAGTGAACAAATTTTTGCGATTTTGAACAGAATTTTCTAGAGAATATAAATGTTTGTAAATTGAAATGTTCCAATATTTTAAAGCTACTTTGACGGTCTGTTAGCTTAGTGGTTGCCGTACTTTAATACTATGCAAGAGGTCGCGGGCTCGATTCCCGCATAGTACAAACATTTGTGTGCATGAAAATATCTGTATGAAATTGGGCGTTGTCTATGTATAATGTACGAATAAAAAAAAAAAGTATATAAATCTTTGAATATTTGGTCTGGGCGTTTTCTATGTATAAAAAACCTTTTTAAGTCAGTTTTCTGACCCATAGTACAAGCTTTGCTTAGTTTAGGACTAGATGGCGCAGTGTAAGATGGTCAAGATGTTCCTCCAGTGTCCCCTTACCCTACTATGTCCCTAGCGTCCCTCTAGTATCCCTGCAGTGTTCCCCCTACTATGTCCCTNTCGTGCCCATTACCTTAAAAACTTCCTTGGTTAATTGAGATTCTAAAAAGGTATCACAATCCTATGTATTCAGTATTATTTTTATCTTATGGCTACTTGAATAGCAACTAGTATGAAAAATGCAAAAATGAGTTTTTCTCGTAATAGTTAAACTAGGACTGCATAGTGGCATTAAATACGAATGGATAATTTTGAGCGTAGGAATTTAAATAAAGCAACATTTTATCATCATCATTTCAGCCATAGGACGTCCACTGCTGAACATAGGCCTGTACCCTAATGATTTTCATAATGACCGCTTGGTAGCGGCCTGCATACAGCACCTTCCTGCTTATCTTTATGAGGTCGTCGGTCCACTTTGTAGGTGGACGTCCTACGACGCGCTCTCCGGTACGTAGCCTCCACTTGAACCCTGCTGCCTCAGTTCTGCGAACTACTGTGCCTTGCCCTTTGCCACTTCAGCTTGCTGATCCGTCGGGGTATGTCAGCGACTTTAGTTCGTTTACAGGTCTCCTAATTTCTGATACGGTTTCGTAAAGAAAACCGAGCATAGCCCCTTCCATAGCACGCTGTGCAAAAAATCCACGTTTCCGAGCCGTGTATCATCACGTGTATCTGTCTATAGGCACATTTATAAGGTGTAAAACAAAAATTAAGTTATCACAAAAACGCAGAACGGACGGCCAATGGAGCAACAGGGTTCAACGGAGGCTACGTACCGGAAAGCGCATCGTAGGACGTCCACCTACAAAGTGGACCGACGACCTCATAAAGGTAAGCAGAAAGGTGCTGGATGCAGGCCGCTACCAAGCGGTCATTATGAAAATCATTGGGGTACAGGCCTATGTTCAGCAGTGGACGTCCTATGGCTGAAATGATGATGATAATGATGATAAAATGTTGCTTTATTAAAATTCCTGCGCTAAAAATTATCCATTTGCATTTAATACCACTATGCAGTCCTAGTTTAACTATTACGAGAAAAACTCATTTTTGCAGTTTTCATACTAGTTGCTATTCAAGTAGCCATAAGATAAAAATTATACTGAATACATAAGCTTGTGATACCTTTTCAGAATCTCAATTAACCAAGGAAGTTTTTAAGGTAATGGGCACGATGGTCTTCATACATTTTTTTTACACGATGGCTGATCAAAAGTGCGAGACAATGAATTAATTTTTCCTTCTTCTCTGCAATTTCTTAAAATTTTCATACTTTTAAACTAGTTTGTTGAACTTTAATCTTTTCTTTTGATAGCCCAACTATCCCTTGTGATAAGGAAAAAAACTAGATTGCAAAGTATCCTCATTTGTAGAAATGGCATGAGAAAAAGTAATCGCAGGTGGCAATTTTCTAAAAATGCACAAAAACTTAAAAATCTTGAAGCACGTAGAATAGTTACCCATCCTTATCGCTCGCGCGTAATTATATTGCTGTCGTGCTCACACACTCACCGCGGCCGGGATAGGATAGGATGGGTAGGTTGGGGTCATTGGACGAAATTCTACGTGCTCGGCGACCGGACTTTACCCTTGCAGTGGTTCTTGACTATTCAGAGGTGTAATTTATTTATAGTCCACTTTGATCACCCAGGTCATGTTATACATGGGTGTTTAAAAGACACCAAACTGTCGCTTGAAGTCCACTTTTATCACCTGGGAAACCAAAGCCAGGTGATCAAAGTGGAATAGAATAGGCCAAAATGCTAAGCTGCCTATTGGCGCAGTGGCTCAGTCATCATCATCTCAGCCACAGGACGTCCACTGCTGAACATAGGCCTCCCCCAATGCTTTCCATGTTGCCCGGTTGGTAGCGGCCTGCGTCCAGCGCTTTCCTGCTACCTTTATGATGTCGTCGGCCCACCTTGTGGGTGGACGTCCCACGCTGCGTTTTCCAATACGCGGCCTCCACTCCAGAACCTTGCTGCCCCATCGGCCGTCAGTTCTGCGGCCGTCAGTGGCTCAGTATTTTTTTCATTCTTGTTGTGTTGTTCTTCTTATATGCATACTGTGTCAATAAAGTCGGCCGTTTGGAGTAGTGGTTCAGAACGGACTATTATGCCGGGATGTCCCGTTCGATTCCCGGCCGGGCAGAAATTGAAATGATGAATTTAAATTTCTATGACGAGTCTGGTTGTTACAAAAAAAAAGTATTTAAGTATGTTTATATCCGTTGTCTAGTACCCATAGTACAAGCTTTGCTTAGTTTTGGACTAGAGGCACAGTGTAAAATGTCCAAGGATATTAAATTTATTTACGTCCCAAAACGCCACAATGTCGGTCCGCCTCCAGGATCGGGATTCGAAACCTATCCAGTTGCAGCGAGGGGTAAGACAGGGAGACGTCATATCTCCAAAACTGTTTACCAACGCCCTGGAAGATGTCTTCAAGCTTCTGGACTGGAACGGATTTGGCATAAATATCAACGGCGAGTACATCACCCACCTTCGATTCGCGGACGATATCGTAGTCATGGCTGAGACCTTGGAGGATCTAGGCACAATGCTCGATGGCCTCAGTAGAGCCTCTCAACAAGTGGGCCTCAGAATGAACATGGACAAGACAAAAATCATGTCTAATGTCCGTGTTGCACCCACTCCTCTGAAGGTTGGAGACTCTACACTCCCTATTATGTACCTCCAGTATTTTCCCCTACTACGTCCCTAGTGTCCCTGTATTCCTCTAGTCCCTCCAGTATCCCTATAGTATCTCCCTTGTGTCCCTCCAATGTCCTTTCAGTATCCCCCTAGTGTCCCCTCAGTTATCTCTGTTTCTAGTGACCCCCAGTAGTCTCTCCCTAGAGGCCCTTCAGTGTCCTCCTACTATGTACCTAGTGTCCCTCTAATATCTCCCAAGAATCCTTCCAGTATCCCCCCAGCGACCAATAATACATTTTCCAGAAACGAAAGTAACAAGCGGTCTCCAATATGGCTGTACTTCAAATGCATAGACAAAGTGGCCAAGATATCTGTCTGTCTCATCTGCAAACGGCAGCTGTCTCACCTGACTTCTATAACTAATTTAAAAAAGCATTTGTACAGGAAGCACCCGGGGGTCAAGCTGAAGGATATGCACGATGTAAGTATTGAACGTTTCTTTCTAGTTTTACCCACTAATTATATTATTAAAGTCCGGTCGCTGAGCACGTAGAATTTCGTCCAATGACCCCAAGTGTCTTACCTCTCAGTGTCTTGAGGCAACTTAAAAAAGTACATTCTGTGTTTTTATTATTATTTAGGCAGTTAAATACTGCACAGTATTTAGTACACCATTTTCTTTATTTTTTTCCATCATACACAAGAATACGCGTGCGTGAGTCAATGTTCGCTCGTATGTGAGGCCTTGTCGAATAGTACTCTCGTAGGGGGCAATCGTGCGTGTTTTGTTTTCGATGTAAACTCGCGGAGATGAACAGGCCTGGTACTACTATGTATTTACAAAAAAAAAGTGTTTAAGTATGTTTATATCCGTTTCCGTTGTCTAGTACCCATAGTACAAGCTTTGCTTAGTTTGGGACTAGAGGCGCAGTGTAAAATGTCCAAGGATATTAAATTTATTTATTTATTCTATTCATATTGTTCTAGGGCAAGAAAATGCTCATAGCAAGCGACGGTCAGCTCTACGAAATTGAAGACGAGACCAAAGTGGAGACGTTGGAAATCGATGATGATAATAATGATGATGATGATCATCAGGTAATAATTACGATGAAATTATGTTTTAACTCGAAAACTATCAAAAATCGCGGAACATATAAAATATGAGGGTGATTTGGATAACCCTAGTGATGCTCTACCTTATAGTGGGCTTCGGCTTGAAGTTGACACTACTTTTTGGGACACCCTGTATACCCTATAGCAGTGGGGGCCAACCGGTCGATCGCTACTTTTAGTCCATTCGATCGTGTCAAGGCACAAAATGAAAAAATACTACACGATTGTGGTGTACTAAACCATGCTGTTTAATTTAAGATTTCAAGAAGTATGTAAGTGGTAGATCCCCAGGGTTTCGTTAGTAAGGGGGCGTCCATAAATTACGTGAGACAATTATGGCTATTTTTCAACCCCCCCGCCCCCCTTGGTGAGATTTTGCCTGACCCCCTCCCCCACCCCCTAATCTCACGTGATATTTTAAAAAAATCCGAAATTTAATAGTTTTGGAGTAATTTTACTTCATCTAAAGTCAATTATGCAATTATCCAAAGCAATTATGCTTGCTTCTGAAATGTATTCCCCCGCCCCCCTTGGTGAGATTTGGTGAGATTTTGCCTGACCCCCTCCCCCACCCCCTAATCTCACGTGATATTTTAAAAAAATCCGAAATTTAATAGTTTTGGAGTAATTTTACTTCATCTAAAGTCAATTATGCAATTATCCAAAGCAATTATGCTTGCTTCTGAAATGTATTTTGTTAACGACGGACAACTACGGAACCCTACACTGTGCGTGGCACGACACGCACTTGGCCAATTTTTTTACTTAAGATTTAAACCCAGTTTTCTGGCAAACTCTATTTCTCTATTTGTTGCGGAAAAAATTACGTGATATTTCCTGAGACCCCCCCTCTCCCCCACGTGAGATTTAGTGAGGTTTTTGTTGACCCCCTCCCCCCCCTAAGTCTCACATAATTTATGGACGCCCCCTAAACAGTAGATCTTATGTCTAATCAAGTTGGCCACCCCTGCCCTAAAGCCTTCCTCAATAAATGGGCTATCCAACACAAAAATATTTTTTGAAATATGTTCGGTGTCCAGTACTTTCTGAGATTAGCGTGTTAAACCAAACGAACTCTTCAGCTTTATAATCTTGGTCCGGTCACTGAGTAGATAGAATTTCGTCCGATGACCCCAAGCTACCCATAATTACGCGCGAGTGATAAGGATGGCTAGCTTGGGGTCATTGGACGAAATTCTAACTGCTCGGCGACCGGATTTGAGATATAGATTTTAAGATAATCCTATTTTAAGATATATATTAAGATAAGCCTTTAATTAAGACAGCACTTAGTTTTAAGCACTATTAGTTATAGTAATTTCATGTATGCGTGTTTGTCTTGTTGGTTGTCCTAATAAATAAAATAAAAAATAAAATAAAATTTTTTTCAGAGCGAAGAACCTATTGAACTAAACGCGATATACCTAGACGACTACGAAGGCACCGTCATAGAACCTAACCGGAAACGGAAACCGTCCACTTCGAAACGGAAACGGTTGATAGCTGAAAACAATGATAGCTCAGAAGGCGAGCTCACGTACCAGAAGCAATACAGCAAGAAAACCAGCGATAGCTTAGACCAATTTGGGAAATACCTCGTGTCGTTATTACGACAACTACCCAAAGAATTGTCGAACCAACTCCAAGCTGATTTCGTGAAGCAAGTGATGACGTCACAGCTGACGTACCAATCGCAGAACGTTGTCGTTGCGCCGAGCAACGGTTATTCTATAACGATAACAGAAGCGGTACCGAAAGGAAATAACGATGCGTATATTTCTACGGAGGGAAACGATGTTAGCCAAAGTCAATAAATGTAACAAGGTTTAACCATTAACCACCTACCGGAGTCTCTCAGACTCCGCTGAATTTGTTTCTTGTCGTCACTAGTCGCATGCGCTAGAAGAGATTTAGGCTTTATATGACTTTCATAGATTATGATGTACTCTTTATTTTTAAATAAAACACTAAATATTACATTTTTAACTTAATTTACCTTTTGACAACTTCATAGTCTTAAGAAGAAAGAGGAGCCTGAGAGACTCCAAGTAAGTGGTTAAGGTTTAACATGTTGAAAATTTTTCATTTATTTTCGACTTTATTGTAAGTGAATAAGGTTGAAATTATGGTGGCTATTATACGCCAGTGATAACGCCATAAAGCGTTTGGTTTTTACAATTTTCTGCGCAATAAAGTGAATATTTTTAATAATAATTATGTTTTTGATTTATTTTAAAATAATGCTATCAGTAAACGAAAATCCAAGTAATTATAATTGGATTTGATTTCATAAAAAAAAAAAACACCGATAGCAATGATATTTATTGGGAACTTATACTTAGTAGTTGAATGATTAGTATAAAGTCCGGTCGCCGAGCAGATAGAATTTCGTGCAATGACCCCAAGCTACCCATTCTTTTTGCTCGCGTGTAATTATTTGTATTGATGTCGCGACTGGCGGGCGGCCGCGCAGTGAGTGTGGTCACTGTACGTAATTCTATCTGCTCGGCGACCGGACTTTACGTTTCAATATTATAAAATTATTTGTGAGTTTTGTGATGGATGATGTTTCCAAAACTGCTAGATGGATTTTGATGAAACTTCGTGATTAATCTAATGGAGATGCAAACAGTTGCCTATGGACCTGGCTTTAGTTCAGGCTAGCCAAAAATGACCTTAAGCTATAATTACTGATGGTACCGTTATAATTTTATTAGCACAGATGAAAACCTTAACGCTTATAAAAAAAGTTAGCAAAGAGTATAATTTTCTATTTACTTTGCCTACAAATGTGTTTCTCCTAAAGTATCTAAAGTTCGGTCGCCGAGCAGATAGAATTTCGTACAATGACCCCAAGCTACTTATCCTTATCGCTCGCGCGTAATAATATAGCTGTGTGCGCTCGCACAGTCACTGCGCGCGCCCGTCGTACAGTTTCGACAGCACAATTTAAGCGAGAGTGATAAGAATAATCTTCGGGTCATTGTACGAAATTCTATCTGCTCGGCGACCGGACTTTACCCTCGATTTAACTTTCCAGAAGTCTCCACTGAAGACGTGAAGCAGACAGATATCTGGGGGTACTTCGAAAGCGATACTGCTACTACCGCCATCTGTTGCGTGTGTTGCGCAAGCGTGCCGAGCAAGAAGGGCGAGTTGCGTCGCCATCTAGTAGCGGAGCACCCGAAACTGGTCGGCGAGATCTTGACGCAGGTATTAAAAAACTTTTATTAATATTTTTCGAGTTTTTAGTGTATTACCTACCTACCTGCTAAATTTGAAGTTAGTAGATGTTATAATTTCTGAGATTTCGTGATGCGTGAGTCAGTCAGTCACCTTTTTTTATTTAATAGGACAACCAACAAGACCTAAACTAGAAGACAATCAATATTTACAACGTATTACAATATTTACGACCTTTAGCTTTATAATAACTGAAAAAATCGTGGGGCGCTTCATTATTAATAACTTTTTTTGTATTCCCATTGTCCCCACCGGCCAGAGGAGTGGGGACAATGGGAATTAAAAAATATTTTTTTTTTATTATTTTAATACACTCACAACAGTCACAAAACGTCGTTGTCTCCACTGGTGGGGACAATGGGAATAAACTGACCGGTAGTTATGGAAATCCCTGGGGGAGGTCTTTGTTCTGCTGTGGACGTCATTTATGTACGTCCCAAGATGTAATGAACGCGGTTCCCACTTGACTAAGGTTGCGGCACAGATAATATATTGCGGGAAGCGCTTGGATGCGGACAGCGTAGATCCGAGGGCCTAGTGTGAGTTTACATCAATGGCGCTCACTAGTCAAAAAATGACATTAAATGTATGACAGATTGTACAGCGCCCCTAGCGGGAAACGTTTAAAAAACTAAAATTTTCATACATTTTTAAACGCGCTCACACCCATCCCACCGGTCGTTGTGGAATTTCCTTGGGGGATGCCTTTTTCCAGCAGTGGACGTCTTTAGCTTGGAACAAGGGAAAACTTAGGCCAGGATTTGGCCATTTGGCTCAGGTAAAATAGAGAGGGCTTGCTCCTGCTGTGGCGATTAAATGTTTGATGATGATGATGGTGACATACTAACTTGTATTTAGATCTAGCGCTTAACTCGGTGCCTGGGGTATGATAGCGGCACGGGAGGGGTGACAATGATATTATGACGTGACAGATCTGATGTTTCGCTGACTTCTGTGGGCCGAGTGTGTTTAGTGAGCGCGTTTAAAAAAATTATGATTTTTTTTGTATCTGAACGTTTCCCGCTAGGGGCGCTGTACAATCCGTCATACATTTAATGTCATTTGAACTCACACTATGCCCTCTGTAGCCTCAGGCACAAACGTGCTAGACCTATAATCCTTAATTTTGTTCCCAGGACGAAGACAACAACGATGACGTGTATTCCGAAGTGATATACGTCGAAGAGAACCCAATGACAAANTGACATAAGATTTTTGCCTCACTCTTGACGAAGCGTTTGTAAAAGGTGTATGAAACTATCCATCTAGGTTTTATTAATCTAAGTATGGAAATATGAAAGCGCGCGCATTACACTGATTTGGTATCGGCCGATTCAGCAAACAATGTAGATAGAATCGGGCCCAACTATTGGCCAACTAACACCCGTATTCACAAACATTACTATGAGGTCTCACAGCGTGCGTGGACGCACAGGGTGACACACGAACCAAACACAGAGCTCTATTCAGCGCACATTTGCTGCTTCACTTAAACAAGCATCGTTTGTGAATACGGATGTAAAAGTCGGTGGTCTGCGCCTAGTTTAAGAGTCGCGTCTAAATTAAATTGTAAAATATTTTGTTTATTCCCATTTTCCCCACCGGCCGGAAGAGTGGGGACAACGGGAATTAAAAAACACTAAATTTTTATTAATAGATTTTATAAATTAAAATAACTTCTCCACACTCAATTAAGACCACTGGTGGAACTTATGAACGTCAAGATATAGTAAATAACAAAGGTAGCCCTTATGGGTCACTTTACATGTCTCCTTATCTTTTGACAGAGCATACAAATGAGCCCCGATTACGGTAATTTTAAACGTCTCCAATCCAGACTCGCTTCTTCGATTCTGCGATACGTTTGGTCAAAACAGCGCTGCAGCGTACGAACAGCGTGCGTCAGCTGTTTTGACCAATCGTATCGCAGAATCGATGAAGCGCGTCTGGATTGGAGACGTTAAAAATTACCGTAATCGGGGCTCTGATGTTTCGCTGACTTCTGTAGCCTCAGGCACTGACTGACTTAAGTGCTAGAGACTTATAATCCTTAATTTTGTTCCCAGGACGAAGACAACACCGATGACGTGTATTCCGAAGTGATATACGTCGAAGAGAACCCAATGACGAAGGAGCAGAAGGTCAAAGTGAAAAAAATCGATTTTGACAGCTACAAGCGCGCCAAAAAACGCAGAGTCAGCCAAGAAAAGCCTAAAAAAAGCATTGACGAAGAAGAAGTGGAGAGTTTTGGGTCTTACATCACTTGTTTAATGAAGCAACTGCCTCGAGACGTCTGCACCAACGTGCAAAGGGACATTATAAACTTAATAATGAACGCAAAAACTCGTAGCCAAAACAAAATCGATGTGCAGCAGAATTTAATCAAAGAAATCATGAAGGATATCAACTGCGATAAAAATAATAGCAGCTTTGAATCGAGCGAGCAGGAAGAAAAGACTGCTGATGCAAACGATGATTTGCTGGAAGACAAAGATGATGCTCAGAAAAGTGACGATAATGACAGTCATGATGACAATTAAATTGCCAGAAAAGCTTCAAACCATTCTGAAACGCCAATCGTTTAAAATTTTAATTAATAACCCAATATTTGTTGCTTTCTAATTGATTAAAGTTAGCAAAATACTTCATGAGTTCACATAAATCGTGGATCGCCTTGCGTTTTAAACTGAACGGAGGATTTTTTTTATAACTACTTAGGTATGTACTTTGTGATAGGTAAATTAAAATTTTACTAACTAATAAATTATAGTTGAGCATTAGGTAGCTTATTTAGGGCCTTTTAAATAAAACAAAGTTTCTGTAAGCAATAAAAGTTTTTATTTATAAAACTGAAAATTGCGTTTTTTATTTCATTTCGCCCGCGTGTTTCATCTGTCACAGAAAAACGTTATCGCGCGCGTCCCTGTTCAAAACCGGGATAAAAACTATCCTATGTCCTTTCCCGGGACTCAAACTATCTCTGCCAAATTTCATCAAAATCGGTTCAGTGGTTTAGGCGTGAAAGAGAGACAGACAGACAGACAGAGTTACTTTTGCATTTATAATATTAGTATAGATTTTAATTGGTGTTTCACAAAATATTGGCTTATTGCAACATAAGGTATAAGTGCGTGTTCGACTACCTATCAGAACATGAGTAATTCCTATATTGACTCATGTAACAGTACCTATCTATCTAGCTAGTACCTTCTATTAGTATAATAATATCCGTCTATTGACCGCACGATGATGAATAAAACATTGTCATTATTAAGTTTCATACAGGATGTCCCAGAATGAGTGAATTAAACTGCAATGGGAGGTAGCTAGACTTCTGACCTAACCCTACCTCTAAAATATTTTAGTTAATACTACCGGCCGCCCGCGACTTCGTACGCGTGGATCCCGTTTTACCCCCTTAAAGGTGGAGTTTCTTAGTGGATGCCTACGTCATAACATCTACCTGCATGTCAAATTTCAGCCCGATCCGTCCAGAGGTTTGGGCTGTGCGTTGATAGATCACTATGTCAGTCGGTCAGACAGTCAGTCAATTGTAGTTATTGTTTGGTCGGACTGTAAACATTTTTTAAAAATTATGACTAGACTTCTGAGTTCAGAGTGTAGTACAAACAGCAGAGCTGAGAGCACATTATATTTTCTTCTCATATTTTAGGGGTAGGTCAGAGGTCCAGCTACCTCCCACAGCAGTTTTATTCACCCAATCTAGGAAACACCCTGTATATGTGTTTGCCTTAGAAATCATTGTTATGATAATATGTACGAATGCATTTATAGGGCTAGCACATACGCTACGGGATCAATGCCCTTCGTCCGGGCGAACTAACACAATGAAACTAGTGTGCGAGGGGACTCTATTATTATGGGCAATAAACGCAATTGTCACAAATGAATCGTTATCGTAGACTTACACAGACATACAATAACAATGAACATTAGTAGGTATTGTTTCTAGAATTTTCTTAGTTATTAGTTAGGTAGGTACCTAATGGTTGAATAGGTAGGCCGTAGGATTTTGCGTAACTCGTTTTCCTGTAGGGTTAAAATAAAATTACTCTGGAATGTATAACTGTACCTAGTTACTTATCTATTCTTTACCCAACTGAGGCAAGTTTGACAAGAAGAATATCACGAGCTAAAAATACCACTCTTTCCATCTGTACTTAAAGGCAACCGTTAGAGTGCCTACTCTAACGGTTGCCTTTCGACGAAAAATCAACGGCGTGCGCCTGCACGCCGTTGATTTTTCGTCGGCCGATAGTTTAGTCGGGCAGTTGATCAGTATGGGCATGTATGGGAGTGCGCACACTACGCTGATTCGATTTGGCCGATTCCTCATACAAAATAAAATCGGACCCAAGTACCCAACTATCGGCCAACTAAAAATCAACGGTGTGCGCCTACTCTTACTGAATGATCTATCATTCAACGCTCGGCTCTAATGGATAATTCCCAGTTGCCCCCTCATGCATCATCCCTTCAAGGGGCAACTGGGAATTTAAACGTCCTAGTCTCCGATCAACTTAATGCTAATAAAAGTATTATAAGCATTCTCCGCCAGTCAACCTTTGGGTCTTGTAATTGTAGGTAATCAGTGCGATTTTGTGCAACACAATCCATGACCTGGTGGTAGCTACTTGAAGTCATCAGCATCTGATTAAATATCACTTCAAGTGTGACAACATAAAGCAAATATTATTATCAGCTCCAAAAACAATTGTTCAAACAAACTGTTTTTGATTTACTCGCGTATTCGCGTTATGTAAATACAGAAGATAACTTAATTGAGCGATTTAATTAACCTTTGCGGGGTTGCGATAAGTTTTAATAATAAATTAATTCAATAATCACGTTATGTAACTTAGAATGGGGTAGAGTAAGTAGTTACGATCTAAGGTAGTTACATTTACTTTCTATCGTTTTAGACTAATTTATTTTTCTGATTTTACCATTAAAAAACGTGCGAAGTTGAAATATGTAGCCTTACACGACATATCGTAAGCTTTCTGAAATGATTCGATATTCATGATTTTTTTTACCGTAAAAACGTTCTACAAATTATGTAGGTAATGGGAAAACAATGTTGATTCTCATAAGTTGAGGAGAGTGAGAAATTTTCATAAATAAATTATCATTTGCCCCCCAGTAGAGACGACCCTGGTGGGGGCAACTGGGAATAATAACCCTTCTCAAATTGTAGCTTATGTACCTACCAATGGAAACGGGGACGGGTATTCATAGTAACTTTGTAAATAGTAAAATCTAAAGGAGTTATATTATTTTGTGGTTAAAGAGTAGGGTATAGATAGAATCGGTTTTCGGACAGATCTCGTTGGCACCCTTTTTGGGTTGAGCCATTCTTGTATTCTTTTTTATTCCAATTACGCAATGCCATCAAGCGCCCCATAGACACAGAAAACAACCATAGTTCCGTTCGCAATCAAGCCAAGGCCATGACGCTGGCTTTTTGCAACCGGACCTGCGTAGAATCATGATTGGTCGGACGAGACACAATTTAAATTTGTAATTTTGCGATGGCAGTTGAGTGCTGGGTTTTTTGTTTGTAACTACAATGCTTGGTTGCTGTTTGTTTTATGTAGAATATTAATCAAATTATTTATTGAAAAGGGGAAAAACCCAAACAGTAGGTACTTTTGCAGGTCAAAGCATACATTATGCACTTTAAATATTTTTTTGGACTTTCTGGCAGGAAAATTAAGCAGTATTTTACAGTTGTGTATTTTAAGCTAATTTTCAATATGGATCCACCATTTAAACTTCACATGCATTATTTTTATCTTCAATATCATTGCAACCAAACTGGTACCACCATCAGCATTCATTCCTGCAACAAAAAAATGTTTAAATAAAATTATTTTAATGACTGTACTACTATAGAGGCGCAGTGTAAAATGTTCAAGGATATTTATTTAACTGTTATGTAGGAAAACTAATGTGAGTGACATTCAAGTTCCTACTTGTAAAATAATGTTAATTAGTTTAAACAACATCTCAATTGACAATAAGTGAATGGGTATTTTATTTTACAAATAGGCGTTTTTGTTTCATAGTAAGTGAGCCAGCCAATGTCTGACTTTGGACATTTTCCTTAACATTACTAGTCAGGTGACATTGAAATTTGATTAACTACGTCGCAATTCAATAGTTACCTACATCAAAAGTATTTCGCACTGTAATTTAAAATCAAGAAAACAAATTTTTAAGGTGACATTGCAAAACCTACCTTTTTTCAAAAAATAATTTGTATGGCGGAAAACAGGTAGGTACCTAATAACACGAAAATAAAATTGTAACATAATAATAATAATAAATACTTATCTTATCGCTATGAAGCGATCTATTCCAGACAACCTATGAACATAAATTCTCAAATAAAGAGCAATAATCCCATCCATAAAATGAACATAGCGCCATAAAAGAGTAAAAAAATCAGTCTTAATTTTGACTGTTCTCCTAAATTAAGGTAGCTACTGCTCTGGGCCAGTTAAAATGACATAAAAAGTTTGTACTGTGCTATAAACCCTTTCTTTATAACATTTCTCAACGCCACGGGGCCCAACCCAGATTTGTTGAACTTTCTAGCACAGTACTTATTGAAATACTCTTAAATACATAGTAACGACTCAAGCGGGCCACAAAAAAAGAATAGTAAGTAGGAATAGTAGTAAAACTCATAAAACTCATTTATTTTTGCAAATAGGCTTTTAAAAAGCACTTTTACACGTCCCAGTATTAACCCTACCACTGCTTCGGGACAATAAATGGGCCAGTGCTGAGAAGAAGCAGCGTAAGAAAACAAGTAATCGCGAAGGGACTTTGTGTTATTTGCAAAAAAGCTAGACTTTACTAGTTTGGGGTCTTTGGGGCTAACAAAATGGCGTCATGTGCTACAAAACAACGCATAAACTCAAATTAATCTCAGTCATACATTGTGACTTATGGTGGGTCTGAAATATAATAAAATTCAACCTATGAGAGACCTCAAATTATGCTTGAAAACGCGCCTCAGTCCAAGACTAGTTGAGGTAGAAAGATGTAAAGTTAAACCGAGTCTACAGGGTGTTAGGTAAATGGGTATATGAGCCGACACTAGCCCATGTTAACATGGTCATATAAATGGTATGGTGAAGTCAGAAAATTGATATCTTCATTTTAATTATTTAAATTTTCATACAAATCGGAATTTATAAAAATTATTTTGTATGAAAATTAAAAAAAATAAAATGATGATATCAAATTTCTGACTTCACCATACCATTTATATGACCATGTTAACATGGGCTAGTGTCGGCTCATATACCCATTTACCTAACACCCTGTATAGTAGAAAGGAAAGGAATTGTATCATGGTGTCTATTTTGACTATTGTTTATTTCTAGGGGATTCTTTCACAATATCTCGCTAGCTAGCTCGCACTTATTGCGTGTAATGTAAGCTATAAATTTCTGTATTTTATTGAAAGAGGCTGACAAAGGTGACAGAGTTTCTTCCGCCACTTCTTCTCAGCACCAGCCCATATGTTGTCCCGAAGTGGTGGTAGGGCAAGCTGTAATTTGGGACGCGTATAAGTGCCCTAGAAAGGGCCTATACTGAATAAACTATTAGAATTTATCACGCTCACCGTATCTGTTTCTACTATGCGCGCTGACCGACTTTAGTTCGTGACGTAGACGTTACGCAAGCTGGTTCGCTGTTTGCCTCTGGTAGAGCTAGAGGCTTCGTGATTTTGCCATGAGTGAGGTCGATGCTGACTTTACTAGCACTGGTGTTTACTCGAAAACGTGTAACGCGATACTCGA